GCTCCGACACCAGTTCCACACCGCCCCTGGCCTTTTTGTTGCAACTCGGGCACCCATGTCTTGCTCATCGTCGCTATCGGCAAATGTCATTCCCAGGGTACCGGTGTCGAGCAGCTCAGCTAAAACGCTTTTGGTCGCGGTCAGCAGACATCTGTTATCGCGCTCGTTCCACGACCTTGGTCTTCAGCGCCTGGGGCTCGGCGGCTCAAGCTCCGCAACTTGCATGCTGAGCCGCTAAGCCTACCCTTTGGCATCTACGAGACGATTGCCACCTTTCCACGAGCCTGGTCAGAATCCTCTCACACAAGGTTAGATTCTCAACGGTCTTGTCTTCTCCGCATCTCGACCTGCCTGCCTTTCCAACTCGCCCCACCCTCACACCTCTTGCCGATTCCGTCACGCTTGATTTTCCAACTACCCACCACTTGCTAGCCTTCCATCGGGAAGATCCTTCTCTGCCCCTACTTGCTCGCGTAGGCACATCCCAGCAGTTCCAGCAACCTTTGTGACTAGTGCCCTCCCAAGGTCTTTGCGCTCTCAAGGTAAGGTCCGTCATGGACGTTTTGATCTGCTTTCGTTTGCAGCCGACCTGACACTGTGCAGCACACAGATAGCCTGTGATTTGCATGCGCTGTGGGCTCTGTGACCATTGACCTGCCTGGACTCCCCACTCGCTCCCTTTCTTTGCTCGTGTGTTTTGTCGATCGAGCTCTGACACGCCTGCACCGCAAGGCTACCACTGGTCTACACAGCTAGCAGTCTCTCATTCTGCAACCTCATGAAACCCCTTCCCCGCTACAGCGTAGAGCACGCTCCAGCTGCGTCCCTTAGCGCTCGGGAACATCTTTGGGCCGACAGAACCATGGATTATGACAACGATGATGACAGTTCAGATATGGAACTGCGCGAACTGATCGCCGAAGAAGCTGCACTCCCCATTTCAAATCGCGCGGAACCACCCATCCCTTCACCACCCCACCCCAAGCGCACGAGCGTCAGCAAAGCGCAGCGCTCGGCCAAAGTGGCAGCCCAAGGTCGCCATGGGCTCAATAAGGATGGTGATACCGAGCCTTCGCGCCGCCGCCGCTCTTCGTCGCGCCGCCGCTCCACCTTGTCACCACCCTTGCAGGTTGCCGATCGGGGCGTATCCATGCGCACTTTGCCCACTGCCGCTGTGACAACGGCTTCCAGCCTCCCAGCCACCAGCCAGGGCCCCGTCCACCAGAAAAGCCCCGCAGGCGGTGTTCGGGGCTTTGTGCCCTCTGGTGGTACCCTTCACATGAGCTCTGGGGGCCTACTCGCGGCCCAGCCGGTTACTACACTTGCACTTGCCGATTCTGGTCTAGCCAGCTTGGCCCATCACGTCCTGCAAGCGACCCATGGCAAGCCCCCGCTGCGTCCCCCGACGACGCAATTAGACTTTGTGATTGCTACTGGCGAGAACGAGGCGGTGGTTGATCAACGCGCTTGGTCCTTGGACGCTACCGTTTGGACACCGGAGCTAGCACAGACCGTCATGAAGCGATTTGCCACCCGTCAGGACGTGGGATTGGAGCAGTTTCGTTCGGCTGCTCTCTACTGCTACTATCTCAGCCTGGAACTTGAACGTTTCGGCCCGACGCTTGCCTGGCAGGTATGGTCAGACAGCACGTACACCGCTCTTACCAGCACTCTGCTTGTTACCATGGGTCTGGGAGTCGCTGAGTGCGCTCCAAGTTGGAATACGATTACATGTGTGAACGTCTGATTGGGAACCCTGCTGAGACAGAGTGCGAGTGATGCCATGTTAAAGACGCCTGAGCACTCTCAGAGCATCTGTTCTCATCTGTTGGTGCGCTTCATAGGCTCTGGGCTTGCGCGGCATGGAACCATTGCAATCCAATCTTCCTGCAACGGTCAGTTTGTGCTTCATGATCAGATGCCTTCAGAAGAGTACGCTTTTGTCGGAAGTTTGCATTAGTGTAAATGCATCACACTTTTAAGATAATGTTCTGTGCCATTTGTCACACTATTGGACACTGCCACCACATCACATTTCGCACTTACGTGATGGACACTGCCACCACATCACATTTCGCCACCATCACGTTGAGCTCCCAAGTTCTTATGGGGCCAGAGCATCACACGCCTTGTCCATGCTCATCATGCTGACTTTTGGTATTTTGGATTGGTAGACTGCGACCTTGCAAGCTGATGCGAGCACTGCAACTTCATCTGCAAAAACAGCCACGCCTCGGCACAAGTCGCGTTCGACGCAATCACAGACCCGACATCCCTCATCGACCTCCTCCTCCTCCTCGGTCCATCACAAATCAGGTCAGCTTCCGTTGGTTCGAGGCTGCAAGCGCCCGGACTGCAGAGTCCACTGTACTAACACCATCCTCTCTTTGTCATGGGATGACTGGATAGGCGGGGAGGTCTCCAAGCGACCCAAGTTGCAATGTCCCATTTGCGCTGGTCCAGGCCGCCCCCGCGGGGAGACGGGCTTGTGCGCCGTGTGCTATTCAGGCCTCTACAATGACATATCCAAGCTGTCCGAGAACACTGAGCCTTTTGCACTCTCGAATGATCGAGAGCTGGACCTTGCCCACCTCATTGAGTGTAGGTGCCTCCGTCTCACCGGCTTTCTCAAACCGGTCAATCTGTCGATACCTCATCATCACGACTCACGTGAGCTTGGTTCCTGACCATTCATGTAGTTCTGAAAACGCTGCGCCGGCCTTGCACCAATCGCTTTGCTTGTGGTACAACCGAGTATCGCTTCGATACGCCTGAAAAGTGCACTCGGTGTCGTAGCATCGCGGTGGTGAAGGCCCTTCCTCGCCTGTCGTATCGACTGTTGCAAAAACGTAAGTTTCTGCACGCCTGACCCAGATGGTATTCATTTACTCGTCAACCTTCATCTCAAGTCTAGATCGGGCATTGATCTGACCTTACTGATATGATGTGTGGTGTTGCTTGCCCAGAGGTGCTGTTGAATCGTTTCAAGTAGGCACGTCTTATTGGAATCGCCTTTCAATATAACTATGTGGCCATGGTCTGGTCATGCCCGGTCGGATGTGTCGACACCAGTTGCTTTTGGGGTTTGAAGTTTCAAGCCCCGTGCCCTTTCTTGCCAACACGAGTTGCAGAAAGGGTCGCCTCCGCTGGTCGCTTTTGTGCGTGTGTTTTGCGTATCAATGACACAGCGGCTTTGATGCTCGTTTACTTTGTCATGTTCTTGTGGCGTATTCAGCTTCGCCACGTTCTCTCCTGAATATCGATGGTGTTATTGCAGTCCTGCACGAGTGGCTTTCTGTTAACGCTTTTTAGAGTTAGTTTCATCCCCAAGTCGATAAGCCGGGTTGTTATCGATAAGAAGAGGTGGTACACCACACTTGTGGCTGGGCGATGTCGGTCAGCTTTTGACACGGCCTTCTCTCTCGGTTTCATGTTGCAACGGTCTCTTTCTTCTTCCTCCCCTCCCCGCCCTTTCCAGACTTTTCAACGTCAATTCAGACTCCTGAGAACAACTCACCTGCCAAATCAGTTCGTCACAGAGGGGACATCATCATCATGTTCGTGAAGCCAAACATCTCTGCAAAAAAAAAAAAAAAAGTCATCACGTGCCCCTGACTCAAAATCGCGAAAGCAGTGAAAATCATCAACCCTTGTCAGACGCGGAGCAAACTTATCAAAAATATCAGCGACATGATGGCCATAAACTCCAACACGCCAGTTCAACGTGATACTTTCCATCCACCGAGGTTGACCACCACGATGGCTGAGAAGCGACTACAACAGTCGCAGTACGAGTACCATGCGGTAAGTCACTGAGCCAGCCACAAACGGCAGCCTGCCGCCGCAATCCAGACCCGTTCTTTCCTGAGCGACTGTGCCGAGGAGATGAGAATCCTTGGTGTTTGGCTGTTGTGGGTTGAGCCAAACTTGCACGTCCCATGCTCTTGCCGTCTCTTGCCATGTTCCTGTCACACCTGTTTGACGACAAGAACCGTTTTTTTTTCCCCTTTTCTTTCGTTTGACCTTTTGAGTCGTTTGCTGCTTCCGACGTTGTTGGTCGTTGGGCCAGGCGCGGGCGCCAAGGGTGTGCGCCGGGGTCTCGGCTCAAATATGGCAGTAATGACGCTGCCATAAACAGGCCGTGGGCTTGCCATACCATTTCGCGGCCTTTGTTTTTTCTTTTTCCTTTTGCCCTGGCATCTATGGAGTGCGCGTAGCTCTCACTTGTCTTGACCTGCTTTTGCAGAATGCCAACTTGGTACTCCAAGCAGATCGGTCACTGATTGATCGCCGCGCGCGCGATGAGGCCACCGGCGAAGTCCAGACCCTGCGGGGTAAGCTCACGAGCATGCGCATGGGCGATCGCGCTGCTCGTGCTGCTCCCACTGACCTCGAAGAGCGCAAGAAACGCCGTGCCGACAAGGCCGCCCGCGCTGCCAAGTCAGCTAAAATCTCGGCTTCAGTTCTCACCGACGCCCTGGACATGAACTTGAAGTACCGGCCCAAGACCACCGAAACTCAGCACGTTTACGAGCTGATTCTTAGTTTTATCACAGATTACCTCGGTAGCCAGCCCCAGGATATCCTCATGGGCGCTGCCGATGAGATTATCATTCTTCTCAAAGATGAATCGATGAAGGTGTGTGTGTTTCAGAACCCAGAACCCATTTTGGGGGGATGATTATCACCGTCCTGCTCCTTTTGGGTTGATGTTCCCTATATCCGATGGCGCGTACGCCCATGTGACTATGCTTTTGCTAACCTTGACTTCCTCCTTCTTTTCCATATGATCAGACAAAAGAAAAGCGCGGCGAGGTGTCCTCACTGCTCGGGCAAAGGTTGAGCGAGGAGGGCTTTACTCGTCTCGTATCCCTCTGCAACCGCATTGATGACTTCCAGGACGAAGAGGAGGAGGCTGCTGCCGGCGAGGAATTTGATGACGACGCTGGCGTAGCCCTCATCTTTGATCGCGACGAGGAAGATGAAGATGAACAGGCTGATGCCATGGATGATGATCTCGATGTGGTCCGCGACCAAGACGAGTACGAAGATGAAGAGGAAGGCGAGGAAGCCGACGATACACAGGCCGTTTCGGCCAACCTGGGCGCTATTGGTGCGGCCAACGCTGCCGATCTGGTGCGCCCGGCCGACGTTGATGCTTACTGGCTGCAGCGTGAGCTCGGTAAATACACCAAAGACGCCGAGGAGTCGCAGTCTTTGGCCGACGAAACTTTGAAGGTTCTGCAAGAGGCCAAGGATGACCGCGAGTGTGAGAACAGCCTTGTCACCGTCCTTGGCTTTGACAAGTTTGAGTTTGTCAAGCTCTGTCGCAAGAACCGCAATGTCATCCTTTACTGTACCCTCCGTGCCCGCGCCAAATCCGATCAGGAGCGCAAGGCCATCGACGCCACTATGGCACAAGACCCTGATCTGGCCCCCATCCTCAAGGAACTGCGTGAAGGCCAGTCGGTGGATAAGGCAGCAGAGGCGAAGGCCCGTCGTGAGGCTCAGCGCCAGGAGAAACTGGATGCCCCACTTGACGTGCTGGACGTGGACATGGAGCGTAAACCGACACAGGTCCTCAATCTTGAAGAAATTGCCTTTCAACAAGCTGGTCATCTCATGTCCAACAAAAAGGTGGTCCTGCCGCCTGGCTCCACCCGTACCCAATTCAAGGGCTACGAAGAAGTTTCCGTACCGGCGGCTAAATCCAAGCCCCGCGGTGATAATGAGAAGGACGTTCAGATTGATTCCCTGCCCAGTTGGGCTCAAAAAGGCTTTCTCGGCTTTAAGGCCCTCAATCGTGTGCAGAGCCGTCTCTTTCCATGCGCCTTTGGCAGCGACGAGAATCTGCTGCTTTGTGCCCCAACTGGTGCTGGTAAAACAAACGTGGCCATGCTGACTGTGCTGCGCGAGATTGGCAAGCACGTGCGTGAGGACGACTCGGTCGACCTTGAATCCTTTAAGATTATCTACATTGCGCCCATGAAGTCCCTCGTGGCGGAAATGACCGGTAGCTTCCGTAAGCGCCTCGAGCCGTATGGTTTGCGTGTCGAGGAGCTCACCGGTGATCAAAGCCTCACTCGGGACCAGATCTACAATACCAACCTTCTGGTCTGCACCCCCGAGAAGTGGGACGTTATCACGCGAAAGGGTGGCTTTGAGGGCATCGTGGGTCTGGTCATCATTGATGAAATTCATCTGCTGCATGACAGCCGTGGTGCGGTGTTGGAAAGTATTATTGCGCGCCACCTTCGTCAGGTTGAGCAGGGTGGCGAACGCCTGCGTCTGGTTGGCCTCTCTGCGACTCTGCCAAACTACGAGGACGTGGCCACCCTCCTGCGGGTCGATCCCAGCAAGGGCCTCTTCTTCTTTGATGGCAGCTATCGCCCTTGTCCTCTGCAGCAGCAGTACATTGGTATCACCGAGCGCAAGGCCATCAAACGTTTTCAGCTCATGAATGAGATTGTCTATGACAAAGTCATGCTCAGTGCTGGCAAGAATCAAATCCTCATCTTCACTCACTCTCGCAAGGATACGGCAAAGACTGCACAAACGATCCGCGACATGTGCATGGAAAAGGACACGCTGGGTGCCTTCATGCGCGAGGACTCTGCTTCGGTCGAGATCCTGCGTCGTACCACGGAAGAGGATACTAAGAACAAGGACCTCAAGGACCTCCTCCCATACGGCTTTGCTTGCCATCACGCTGGCATGAATCGCAAGGACCGCACCCTTGTTGAGGACTTGTTTGCCGATGGCCACATCCAAGTCCTTGTGTCCACGGCCACCTTGGCTTGGGGTGTCAACTTGCCCGCACATACCGTCATCATCAAGGGCACACAAGTGTACTCTCCTGAAGCCGGTGGTTGGACTGAACTCAGCCCCCTCGACGTGTTGCAGGTGAGCCTTCTCTCCTGTAGGGTCAAGTCTTTTGAGTCGTGCTGTTTGATGATATTTTCCTTTATCCCTGGAGTTGTGAATAGTAAGTTGTCTCATGGCACACCCTGTCCTGGTCGCTCCCTTCTCTTTAACCGTTCCAGATGCTGGGTCGTGCGGGTCGCCCGCAATACGATCGCTTTGGTGAGGGCATCCTCATTACCTCTCAGACAGAGCTACAGTACTATCTTTCGCTTCTGAACGAGCAGTTGCCCGTTGAGAGCCAATACGTCAAGCATTTGGCCGACAACTTGAACGCCGAAATTGTTGCTGGTACGCATCGTCATTTTGGCACGACCACTGTCATTCTTTCGGGTACCCATTCAACGTTCTGGTGACACCGAAATGAGACACGGGAAGGGATATGCACCGCCATGGCTCTTGATGAGTCCTTTTTGTCAAGACAGAAAGAACGGCGTGCGCATCGTGACACGCTTAATGTTGACACAATAATCCAGTTTGCTGAAGCAATGGCAACGTGCTCTCAGCTTCGGTTTTACCACCACTCAAGTCTCGACAGCTCATTTTGGTTTTCCATCCACGCGCTGGGTTGGCATTCCTAGGCACCGTGCAAAACCTCGACGAAGCCATTACCTGGCTAAGCTTCACCTACCTGTACATTCGCATGCTTCGGAACCCCATCCTGTATGGTGTGCCTCGTGAGGCCGTGGAAAACGATCCGGTTTGTCTTATTGCTCATACCCACGCGCGATGACTGGCCTGTCTGCAACCCCTCTCCTCGTACCACCTTTGTGGCTGACTTGTGCTTGTACGTGCGCACAGAAACTGGAACGTTTCCGTCGAGATTTGCTGCACACAGCCGCCCTTACGCTCGACAAGTCCGGTCTGATCAAATACGAGAAGAAGACGGGCACCTTCCAGTCGACTGACCTCGGCCGCATCGCTTCGCACTACTACTGCACCCACGGTACCATGGCGACCTACAACAGTTTGTTGAAGCCCACAATCAACGAGATTGAATTGCTGCGCATTTTCAGCCGCTCAAGCGAGTTCAGCCTGATTCGCGTTCGCAAGGAGGAGAAGCTCGAACTGCAAACGCTCATGGAGAAGGTGCCCATTCCCGTCAAAGAAGGCATTGAAGAGCCGACGGCCAAGGTCAACGTGCTCCTACAGGCTTACATCTCGCAACTCAAGCTTGAGGGCTTGGCGCTCATGTCTGATATGGTGTACATCACCCAGTCTGCGGGCCGCCTGCTGCGCGCAATCTTCGAGATTGTTCTCCGCCGTGGTTGGTCACAGCTGACGGATCGCATGCTCAATCTTTGCAAGATGGTTGATCGTCAGCAGTGGCAGAGTATGTCACCCCTGCGTCAGTTTGATAAGCTCAACAAGGCCGTTGTCCAAAAACTTGAGAAGAAGGAACTGCCTTGGGCTCAGCTGATGGAACTGTCACCAAATGCGTTGGGCGAGTTGATTCGCCAGCCAGCGGTGCGTACCCAGAACCGTTTCGCACGCGATAGATGAACAATTGCTCCTCTCCCCTTTGTCGTTGTCTCACGCATCTCAATTTCCATAGGCTGGCAAGACGCTGCATCGCTACATCCACCAGCTGCCCAAGCTCGAGTTGAATGCCAGTGTGCAGCCCGTGACTCGCAACACGCTCAAGGTCATGCTGACTATCACGGCAGATTTCCGCTGGGACGATGCCATCCATGGCAACCAACAATCCTTCTGGATCTTCGTGGAGGTCAGTTCTTGTTCAGCTGGTACTATCTTGACATACGCCCAATGTATTGCCTGTTTCTTCTCTATTTTTGTCTTTGGGCCTGTGGCTGTGTGGTTGCTCTTGTTTTGTCTATTTGAATTTTGTACATGGCGCGGCTTGTGAAAGAGACATTGATGATGAAAGCTTTTGCTCGACGAGACTGGGTGGGCTGGTTCTGGCCTGAGGGCAAACGAACGATGGCTGACGACGGATGGTTTGATGCATGCGTCATCTCGAGAGATGTCTGCCTTGGCAACATCGCTTCACCCCTTTTCCGGTGGGGCCCATTTCGAGAACGGCGCATGATTGTCGGCCTTCCCGAAGCGTCGATTCCAAACCTCAGATGTCCGCCAGCCCAATATACCCGGTCAATGCCGTTTCTGGATTATGAGAGCTGAGATGTCACCACCTTTGCCGTGTCGTTTTGCGACGTGCCATCTTGTGTCGTGCCTGCCTGTCTGGCGTTGTTCGAAACGCCCTCGCCCCGCCTTTCTTGATCGTGTCTCTCTGGCTGCTGTGACTAGGACGTGGATGGGGAGAATATCTTGCACTCTGAGTACTTTGCTTTGAAGCGTCGTTACCTCGAGGTCGATCATTATCTCAGCTTTTACGTGCCTGTGGGTGATCCCATGCCGCCTCAATACTTTATCCGCATTGTATCGGACCGGTGAGTTCTTGCTGGGTCGTTGCTGTGCTATTCAAAGTTTTGGTCGTTTTTATTCAGTGTGGAGGTTTCGTTGATGGCCAAGCTTGGCTTTGTTGGTTTTGTTGAAATGATGACACATAATGCCCGAGCTGTCTGAGGGCCGGGGCTGGACCTCGTCGGGCAGTGCGATCACCAGCCTGTCGTCTGAAAGGGGGAGCTAGGTTGTTGGGCGGTCGCAGCCAGGTCAGCTACTTGCAACGGGCTGGTTCGTTTGGACATCGTGTATGTTCGGCGGTCAGCTCGCAAGATGCATGGCCTGATGCTGTGGTTTGCTCGGTGATCTGGTCCTTTTCGCTGATGGGCTGTTGCTGGACGCCTGTGGCCGTGAGGAGAACCCCCAGCCACCCGCCCACTTTCATGTGGCAATGCCTTTGGCTCGGGCGAGTCTGACTCAACAACCATCTATTGCCAAGGGTCTTTTCTGACCGGCAGACATAACGCGCTCGCGCGCGTGTTTGTTTGCCACATCATGTGGTGATGATTTTGTGCTGCTGATTTTTTTATTTTTTTATTTTTTCTTCTCCGTCCTTATTGCTGCTTTGCTCATACACATGTCCATGTCTGGTCGTACATGTAGCTGGCTGGCTTCCGAAACAGTACTTCCTGTTTCGTTCCGCCACCTGATTCTGCCCGAGAAGTTTCCTCCCCACACTGAACTGCTCGATCTGCAGCCCCTGCCTATTACAGCGCTTAAGAATCAGCAGCTCCAGCGTCTATACGCGCCGCGCTTCAAATACTTCAACCCCATCCAGACACAAGCGTTCTCAGCGCTCTTCGAGTCGGACGAATCCGTGTTTGTGGGTGCCCCCACGGGCAGTGGCAAGACCGTGTGCGCTGAGCTCACGCTGTTGCGCGCCTTTGGGTTGCGTCCGGACAGCAAGGCCGTCTACGTCGCAGCCACACAGGCCATCTGTGATCAGACAGCGGCCGCTTGGCGTGATCTGTTTGGCGCCAAGCTGGGCAAGACCGTTGTCTCCCTGACTGGTGATTCCAGCGCCGATCTCAAGTTGGTGGGGCGAGGTGATCTCATTGTGGCTACGGCCGAACAATGGGACGTCATCTCGCGTCGCTGGAAGCAACGCCGCCATGTTCAGGCCGTCAACTTGTACATTGTCGATGAGGCGCACCTTTTGGGTGGGGATAAGGGCCCCGTTTTGGAGATTGTCAGTTCGCGCATGCGCTACATGAGCATTCAGCTTGAGAAGCCAGTCCGCATTGTCTGCCTTGCATCACCAGTGGCTAATGCCAAGGAGATGGCGGCCTGGTTGGGCATCACCTCCTCTAACGTTTTCAACTTCCACCCCAATGTTCGGCCCGTGCCCTTGGAGCTCGAACTGCAGGGCTTTAATGCTGCCGACGCGAACAGCCGCAGCATGGCCATGGCGCGCCCCACCTACGCTTCCATTCACCGCCACGCGCTCAACAAGCCCGTGTTGGTGTTTGTGCCGTCGCGCAAGCAAGCCCACATTGCCGCACTTGACATTTTCACCCAGGCCGCGTCCCAGAATGCGGGAGGACAGTTTTTGCATTGCAACATGACGGACCTTCAGCCGTATTTGGAAAAGATCAAGGACCCTGCCTTGGCTGAGACCTTGACCAATGGTGTGGCCTACTACCACGAGGGCGTTCACGAATCGGACCGCTCCATCGTTCGCCAGCTGTTCCAGGCAGGGGCCATTCAGGTCGTCGTCGTCTCGCGGGACATGGCGTGGGGCTTGAATATGGCCGCTCGTCTTGTCATCATTCAAGACACCCAGTTCTTCGATGGCAAGGAGCACCGTTTTGTGGACTACCCGATTACGGATGTCTTGCAGATGATGGGTTTGGCCAGCCGTCCTGGTGTCGATGAAAGTGGTGTTTGCGTCCTCATGTGTCAGACCTCGAAGAAGGCCGTGTTTACCAAGTTCTTGAACGAGCCCCTGCCGGTGGAGTCCCACCTGGATCATGCCTTGCACGACCACTTTAATGCTGAGATCGTGACCAAGACCATTGACAATCCGCAGGATGCGATCGACTACCTCACCTACACCTTTTTGTACCGTCGACTGACGCAGAACCCCAACTACTACAACCTGCATGGTGTGACGAATCGTCATTTGTCGGACCATTTGTCGGAGCTGGTTGAGACGACACTTTCAGAGTTGGAAGAATCCAAGTGCATTGCTATGGATGAAGATGAGGAGGACGTTTCACCCCTCAACCTGGGTATGATTGCGGCGTACTACTACATCAACTACACCACGATTGAACTGTTTAGCCGCAGCCTGTCAGAGAAGACCAAATTCAAGGGTCTGTTGGAAATCATTTCCTCGGCCACCGAGTTTGAGGTGATTCCCGTGCGCCAGCGCGAGGACCGTCTGCTCAAGCAGCTGGCCCAGCGTCTGCCCATGAAGCAAAAGCCGGACGCGCTGTACACCGATCCCCATGTGAAGGTGAATCTGTTGCTGCAAGCGCACTTTTCGCGCATCCAATTGCCGCCCGAGCTGCAATCGGATCAGGAGCAGGTTTTGCGCATGGTTCTGCGTTTTGTGGCTGCGTGCGTGGACGTGCTCTCGTCGAGCTTGTGGCTCGAACCGGCCTTGGCGGCGATGGAGCTGTCCCAGATGATCGTTCAGGCCACTTGGGCTTCTGACCCGCTGCTGAAGCAGGTACCGCACATGGACACGGCGGCACTGAAGCGCGCGGCAGCCAAGGAGGTGGAGTCGATTCTCGACCTGACCGACCTCGAGGATGACGAGCGCAACGCCGTGTTGCAGATGGACGGGCAGCGTCTGGTTGATGTGATTCAGTATTGCAATCGCTATCCCGACGTGGAAGTGGCGCATGAAGTGGACGACGAGGACGACGTGCGTGAGGGCGAGCCAGTGACGGTTACTGTGGCGCTCACGCGTGACGACGGCGAGGACTCGGATGACGAAGGCGATGAGTCGGCAAAGAAGTCACGACCGCCCGTTGGTCCCGTCTTTGCACCCTTTTATCCCCAGCGCAAGGACGAGGCTTGGTGGGTTGTCATTGGTGACACCACCGCTAACAAGTATGTAGTGTCTTCCTTTTGATCCTGTGTCGGCTTTTGCAAGTTTACAGTTTTGTCTGGGCTCACCCTTGTTTTCCTCCTCCTGCTTTTTAGGCTCTTGGCTATCAAGCGCGTGCCGCTCCAGTATGAGGCTCAGGCCGCATTGCAGTTTGAGGCCCCGGCCCCGGGTACCCACAAGCTCAAGCTTTACCTCATGTGCGACTCCTATTTGGGCTGCGATCGCGAGCATGATTTGGTGTTGAACGTCAAGCCCGGTGAAATGGACGCCGGGGAAGATTAGGCTGTTCTCCCCTTGTGTCGTTTCTTTTGTTGTGTTTCATATTGTGACACCTTTCCGGCCTGGTCGCTGTGCGCGCGGTCACACGGGTGGGACCATCATGCTCTTGTCTGTTGCTCTTTTGTGTTTGGGGCTAGCGCGGGCCGATTGTTATAATCTTCCCACCCTGGCCTTCCCCCTTGTTTAACTGACTCTGTCGCTCTTTTTGCTGGCCGTTGTGGCGGCCCTCGTGTTCGCACGTTACCCATTTTAATCGAATCTGAATCCGGTGCACTTGGATCGTTTGCTTTTGTTTCCGAGTTGAGGACTCTGGAATTGTGCATTTACGCATTTACATGTTTATATAATATATATTTAAAGCACAAGTCGAATCGCCTGCCGCCGGGAATATTGGCTTCACTGCGCAAAAGTCAAAAGAATATCGGCCATATTACTCTTGACTGCCTCGCAGACACGGCGATATTCAATGCCATCGCCCTGACAGCAGCGAAGGACAGCAAGACGGAGGGTGAGAAAATAAACCGAACAAAAAGGTTGATCCTGGGAAATAAAAAAAACATATTGCACACACGGTCTCATGCGTACCTCAAGTTTGAGGAAGGAAACGAGGGTGCAATTGTTTTCGTGAGGAAAGCAACGGATACTAAAGCGAAGTGGAGCGTCCGCCGGCTCGATCGAATCAACATCCTCATCATTGACATTGGCAGCAGTGGAGGACGGCGCAGTCGATGAAGGGGAGCAGCTGGCCTCCGAGGCCGTGCTGTTCGGCTAGCAAACAGCCGGAATAAAAAGGGGAGTGAAATGGGCGGGTGCGCTGTAGACGACTCTTCAACTTCAGACACGGACAATACTCACCGTTTTGGGTGTACCAGCAGCAACATCTGCCTGAGCTGAGGCTGAAGCGGCGGGCGTGGTAGCTTTGACCTTGGGAGGTCGAGGATGAATCTCCAGCTATCGTGGCAAGCGCAAAAAAAAAAAAAAGGCAAAATCAAGGTAAATACCATATAATCACAATCCAAGCAACATGAAGGAGGTACACGCGCGAGCAGAGGCCTCGCACCGCCAGTTTATCGGGCAAAGTCCGTGAAACCTCCAAACGCAAATCGGTCTTGAAGTATTCCTTGAGCCTATCCCGGTGCATGTCGTGCCCGTGAGACATTGGACGGCCATGTCATCCCACCGCGAGGACCAAGCACGCTTACTCGAGAAAGGTTTCTTCGAGGCCCATCGTGGAAAGAAAATTGGGGTAGCGCGTCACTCGCTCCTCGTCCACCTGAGTCTGCAGACATGATTGTGGAAAAAAAAAACAAAAAAAAACAAACAGTCAGCTTCAATCAAGAGTTGGCCTGCAGCACAGCGAGCTGACACGCTCGAGGGAGCCAAATACCATTGTCCAATCCCCACAACCCCAAATTACAAGCCCACTGGAAGAGCAGCGCCGATTCAGCTCCTCTCACCGAAATTAAATCCTCTGCCGTCTTGCTGCGCTTGGACGGGTTTTCATCTCTGTTGGTGGGAAGGCGAAGATCATGAGCAGTTGCCAACACCACTGAAGCGATGACTTGAGGCCTGCGCGGCATTAGGTGGCTGACCGCATGATGATTTCTGGTTCGGGCTGCTTGAGCAATGGGCAGGGCTCGGTGAGCATGCCGCGCTCATCGAGGAGAGGGGTCAAGGATGTCGTGCTACAATGGCCGAGCAGTAAAGAAGCCACCGACGCGAAAAGGCCCGCCCATTGCACAAATGAGAGAAGGGCGGCAAGTGCAGGTGCGGTCAGAAGGTGGGTTGCCAACGTACTGGCGAAACCACACGCTTTGTCGAATCTCTGGCTCGACCCAACGTTTGGAAAGGTCTGGGTGCAGGGTGTGTCGAAGAAAATCTGCAGGCGCATAAAAGGCAAGTGTGATGGCAGTGAGGTGCGGCCATGTCGGTGGCTAGGTCATGGGGCCGAGAGCGGATAAATTGGATCGCAGGCGCGCACAAGCACGTACGGAGCAAGGGTGGATCCTTGGCGCGAATCTCCAACCATGGACTTCGATTCAAATCGCCGTGGGCCCATGCTGTGTATTTGTGACACCGGCTGGTGGTCTCCTTCCAAGGCAGCGCTAGCGCACGGGCAGGCAGGCAGATGGACAACAATGTAACGAGGCCCGAAGCGTGTGAGTGAGGAAGAGCCATGGAGAAGACCACAGACTGCGAGAGGGCCACCTACCGCCAACTGCCATGGCGATGGTAACCACGGAGCATGACCATAGGTCGGCCTCGGGGCCCTCGTAACATTCGTTGAACACCTGGGAAGAATTGTGCAAGAGTGGTTGCAGGATTGCGGGCATGAGAGGGAGAACAGAAGCTCACGTTCACCGGGTTGAAAGGACGGAAGCTGGGCATACTTCGGGGGACGTGTAAGGGGCGGTGCCACAGCGTTTGCGGAGAAGGCGCTTCTTGTTCTGAACAGCGTAAAGGGTTGCAAGGCCCATATCTGTAATCTTGACATTGACTGTAGACGAGGCATGGGGGTTGGTGAGCCAGTCTGACGCCTTGTGTGGCTGCATTGTGCTTTGGCGTGCAACATCACTGGGAACCCACAGTTTTGGTCGAGGAGGATATTTTCGGGCTTGATGTCGCGGTGGCAGATGAATTTCGAGTGCATGTAGGTCTGTGTGTGCAGACCAAAAGCAAAAGGTGAGTGGGACATGGGGCTGAAATGTGGTTCCCCAACGGGGCGACAGCGGGCGACAGCGGTGCTCGAGGTTGTTGGATGGAACGTACAAGTGCGGAGAACATTTGGCAAAAGTAGAGGTGACAGACGTCGTTGGGCAGCCCCTTGTCTGGTGCTGGGGAGGGGGATAAGAGTGGAGGCGGGGGATGAGGACTTGGCAGCGATTGGTAAAGTATAGCAATTTCGGGTCTGAAGCGAGCCAAATGCATGGGTGCAAGGCAGGCGTACTAATGAGACTAAACAGCTCGCCATTGACGGAGAGCTCGAGCAGGATGAAAATGTTCTCGCGCGATGAGTCATAGTCCATGTAGCGGATGATGTTGGGATGCTCCAGCTGTCGATGAAGAACAATTTCCTTGCGAATGCTGGTGACCTGACCCGATGAGGGGATGGCGACGATTTTCACGGCCACGGGCGTAAATTTGGTCACGTGTTCAGCCCGCTTGACTCTGCGCCCCAGTTGATCAAGTGAGCCCGAAGACTGTGAAGCGGAACCAAAAAAACGTCGGGGTGCCACAGATGTGATGTGGGGTAGGATGAGGGAGGCAAGGATAACGTACTTTCCAAACGCGCCCACGCCCAGCGTTTCGCGGAGAACGAAATCATTCTTGATGATGGTGCCGCGCAGTGTCGGCGCCGCCGCCATGATTACTCGGTGAGCTGAACAGAGCCCGCCCTTTGTTTCAAGTCGCGCTCGCTCGCCGCAGACCTGTTGAAGGGCATTGGTCACCCCCAAAGCCACACAAATAAATGCATGAGCATCAGGCATTCATCCCACCCGTTCAAGCTAATGAGCGCCGCCCTACGTAACGGGCGGCGCTGCCATTTGGCAGCAAATCAGCCCGCAACACTCACGCACACACTCACCACAACACGTTTCGACACGTTTGATTGAAAAAGAGAGAGAGAGAGAGAGAGAGAGAGAGAGAGAGAGAGAGAAACTGCATGTGACCGTTACAACCGGTTGATTTGTCGACAAAATTGATGACATGGTGTTGTTGTTTTTGCATATGGTTTTCTTCCTGAAGAACGCCGAAGGTACGTCACATTTTTTCTTCGTTGGGCTCTTACCTCTGCACACCCTCACAAGCAAACACGCACACACACCTCACGAGCACACACACATGCAAGCGCACACAAAGCACACACAAAGCACAAGCACACACACACACACACATGCAAGCGCGCACACACACACACACACACACACACAAACATATACAAGCATTTACACCCTGGGAGTGTCATTAAATTTTTATTTTTCGCGTGCGAAGCGATCACTTACAACACCCGGCTTGCAAAAACTCAGAGAATGGCAGTCTTGGATATTGCTGCTCAAATGCGTGGTCTGAACCTTGGTGCGGAGGTTCCGGTCAGTTTGAATGAACTGATGCGCCGTGCTCTCTTTCATGAGACCGGTCCCCAGATTTCTCGTGCACAGGCACACCAGAATCAATTAGATCGAGAAGGCCACATGTGTCTCACTTGCCGCGCTCATTTTCCCCATGACCGTCAAGGGCGGAATGAGCTGAGACGGCATGTGCTGTCGGAAAAGCACCAATATAGCCAAGTCTTTAACGAACGCGTCTGCTCCCTGGTAGAGCGGGCAGGCGTCGTCGGTGATGACTTTGATTTTGACGCCGCGCACGATCGTGTTGAACGAGATGAGGTCGACGCCGAGACGCTTCCCGAGCCTGGCGATTCCCCCCCACCGCTTACTGCGCATTCTCTACACCAACGCTGAAATCCGTGTCAACCTGCCTTTGCATTTGCAACGAGAGGTTGTGGAGCGGTTTTCAGAAGAAGCATGTTTCGAACGACTGAATCGACGCGCACCAGCCGCCTAGGCACCTGGAAGCCAATCAACTTGAGCATCGGCGCCTCGACCAGATATTATCGATTGCCTCTGAGATCAATTGCCTCTGAGGCCCTTTAACGCCGCGCTGTGCGCCGATCTGAGTGATGGACTCGTGTAGCTGACGCGGGTCCGCTTTCTTCCCCGTCTCATGTACAAACAAAACAACAACTTCGATACTGCAAAACCAAAACCAAAAAAAAAAAAACCAAAAAAAAAAAGCCTATTTAAAACTTTAAATGAATTTTATTTAAATGTCATGTGCATAGTTGTTTCCATGTCTGTTTGTCTACATCGAGTTGTAAAATTGAACGAATGAAAAGATTTTTTTTTACGTTATAAAGTTTTTTCGACACATTTGGCTTTGTTGAAAATTGGGTAAGCTCTCTCTTTCTCTCTCTCTCTCTCCGTTCGCGCTGCCACCTGCACGGCGGTGGGCGACACCAGACCCGCCTCCTGGTTCCTTTCTAAGAGCCGGGCAGCAAGACCATTGGGTGTTGGGGCGAGCATGGATGCGCACCTGGCAAGCTTGCTTATGGTCGTGATGTGCTTGACAGAGTCGACAGTGTTTCTGCAAGCAAAAGATGGCAAACACGCTGAGCGGCTCAGGGCCAAGCATGGGCACGGGTGTTGCCCTCAATGCCGAGGCTGTGCTGGCCAAGACCAGAGCAGATGAACTTGAGGCCGTCAAACACCTCAACTGCTGGGGCAGCAAGATCACTAGTGTACGCAACCCCTCGCCGCGCCACCGCCGTCGCTGGCATGGACAGCGGAACAGGCGCTGTATTTGACCCCATCCCGTTTCCCTGTGTAGATTGCGTTGCTACGCCACATGCCTGCCGTTGAGGTCGTGAGCTTGAGGTGGGTGTTGATCTGACTCCAGGCGCCGTGGCTGGCACGTCCCAGCCAAATACTGGCCTTTGACACTCATGGCCTCATCGCTTTCCTTGGTATCAATCCGTGCCTCGCCATGCGCAGCGTCAATGCCATTCAGTCGCTTCGACCTCTTCAGTCCTGCACCCAGCTTCAGGAGCTTTATCTGCGCAAGAACCAGATTGCAGACCTCCGCGAAATCCTTTACCTCAAAGACTTGCCGCAGTTGACCGTGCGTTGCAGATGGCAATGGACTCGCCCTTGGTCCCTCTCGCACGTCAAGTCATTGGTCGCCCTAGCACGGTGCAACAATCTCCGGCGTGTGCCTCACGGATGCACCTGGCGGGTATAGGTGTTGTGGATGTCTGACAACCCCGTGGCAGAGCAAGAGGACTATCGGGCCACAGTCATCAAGTATTTGCCCCACTTGACCAAGCTTGATAATCTAGGTGATGCATCGTCGTCGGGAGTCGCGCCACCGTTTCTGCTGGCCATTCCGGGCCCGTCTGCCCCCTCCGCTTACTCACCCTACACCCGTGTTTTGTTGGCGCTTCATTGCAGACATTACGCCCACGGAGCGGGAAGAGGCCAACAAGACGGGACGTGAGCTCGTCCCTTTTACGGTCCGGCCTGCTATCTCCATCCTTTTGCAAGGCCTTTGATAACTTGCACAGCCCATGTTTTCGCAGCCAGAGGCTCAAAACATGGCTTTGCCGCCTCCCTGTGCTAGGCCGAAGAGGAGAGCCAAGCCTCGGAAGATGATGCCTCGCTGTCGGACAACGGTGCTACTTTGACTGCGGTCCGTTTCGCTCTTTCACATTCTCTCCTTGAACCGTGCTCATCTCCCCCAAAACCTCACGACGCATCGCATTTCACACTTGTTTGTGGTCATGGCAGCGTGAGGATGCCGTTGTAAAGGCCATCGATCAACTGTGCTCCACTCTGTCGGCCGCTGCCCTTCAACGCGTAGCAGCTACTGTTAACAGCTGGCAACAGGCCCCCTGAGTGGGTTGACACGAGATAATACCTCTCCCCACCTTCTCTTTTTGCTTGGCTTTCGGCTGCTGCTCGTAAATGTCTTGCGCTGATTTGTGTCTTTCCACTCCCACCACCGCTTTATCGCGGCGGTAAATGCATGCCTCGGTCCTCTTGCCCGCCTCTGGTTTTGTTGTGTTTTGCTTGGTTCTCATGTGACCCTTCCTGCATCAATATCTATCATGCCTTGAAACCACCACGGTCCTTTCTTGGTTGCCGCTCGTAATTGACGAATGAACTGCAGCCGAATAGCATGCACTTTACCCACACGTGCTGCTCTCGATCCCAAAAGTCCAAATCAGCTTTGGGCGTCAATTCCAAGAGAGACACCCCTCAGAATCCCAAAACTTTGAGATTCCATGCATCACTCTATGGTCGCCAAGATTATTTCTTGCTCTTCTTCTTTTTCGACTTGGTTTCCACGCTACGCTGCTTCCACGTACTCTTGGACAGCTTGACAGGGCGGTTGCCGATGTACTTGCCTAAAGAGATCAACGCCACAATAACAATCATGAGCCTCGTGTTTTCCGCCAAACGCACGACCTCGCGAGGTGGGTCACTTTGGCCAGACCCTCAAATGCTCATGTGCCAAAGGCCTACAGACCTTGCATCTCTTTCAAGGCCTTGAGGTAATCACGGCCTTCCTTGAAACTGACAAAGCCATAACCCTTGGTCTTGCCTGACGCTTTATCCTTGATGACCTATGCGTTGGGGGGGACCCGAGACAAATTGCTGCGAGTGAACCGCAAACAAAGGGTGGCGGCAGCGTTGGACATGGTCGCTACAATCATCAAACATACCTTGGCCTTTTGAAAGGATGGATAGTGCTTGAAGGCCTTAGCCAGCACTTCGTCGCTGGTCTCATTACCCAGATCACCACAAAAAATGCGATAGTCATCTATCCGACAACGTGAGACGAAGATCAGGGCGCTATGCGGGGGAGGGGACAGAGGGCACGAGGGCTAGAGGCATTGACAAAACGACGGTTGCCTCTTGGTCACCCAAAACTTCAACACGAGCGACGTACTGGGATCCCACTCATCAAGGGTAGAATCATGCCATTTTTGTGCACCGACGACGCGATTGGCCTTGACCTTGGGGCGCTTGGGCTTGCTGGGCTGAGCGGCGGCACCCTGAGCAGGCTGTGCATATCCGTTTGCGTAATTACCATCCACTGGCGCATAATCCTATTCATTACAAGGCCCACATGTGCCGGAGTAGTGAGTGGCAACTGTCTCCTCCTCAACGCAGATGGCGAGGCCTGCGGGGTCACGTACACCAGCGGCTTGGACGATGGCCTGCTGGTGCTGCTGATACTCGTATGCCCGCTGCATGGCCTCCATGTGTGCTTGCTGATACTCTTCTTGGCGCTGTTGCTCCACAAAGTTTTGTGTAATGTCGTGACCGAGGACTGCCGACGCCGCCTCGGCTGCACGCCGGCGGGCCTCCATGGCCTCGAGGTTGTTGGGAGGCATCGCCATGCTGCCGGTTGTCACCACTCGACTTGCACCCAAAGAAGAAGGCTTGCTCCAAATATTTTGCAATCTGCTCGTGAGCTAGGTGTGCACTGTCTTGAATACCGCCTCAGCTGCCAGGCCAATTCAAGGTAGACACCGACCGCTTGACGCCCCACACCACCACCACCAGCTCCTCTCCTGTGCGCGACAAATCGTTTTTTTTTTTGAGAGAGAGAAAGTGAGAGAAGCTTTCGAGGGGCGAACGCAGTGAAGGTATAATTTATTTTTTTGAAAACTTGAATGTCAGAAAATAAAGTTGACACTTGGTAGCTAGCAGTAACTACGACTTTGTTGTTGTCACACACACACACACACACACACACACACACATCCAAACGGCAGCGGCCTTTAAGAGAAAAAAAAAAAAGAGGGAGCAGCATGCGTGACTGCCCTGTGGCTGAACGAAGGTGGGCCAGGTACGATTTGGTCAGAACAGGGTCAGACCAAATCGTGCCTGTGCCCGCGCCCTCGTCGCGAGAGCAAGCGCGCGGGTTTATTCCTATACACCTTTCCTTTGTTCTACCCCATAGCTACACGTTGATGTGAAAACACAATAAAACAAACAAATCGCTCTCTCTCTCTCTCTCTCTCTCTCTCTCTCTCTCTCTCTCTCTCTCTCTCTCTCTCTCTCTCTCTCTCTCTCTCTCTCATACATCACTCCCGCCCATTTCCGCCGACTCGCCGGGATTCCGACTCGGCAACTTGCGACTGGTTTGTCACTCGCCTCTTTCGGGTAGGTCAAGTCACAAGCACAAATTGAAAGAGCGGCGTCGTTCGAGTAGGCCACGGGGCAAGTGGTAGGGCGGGGTTGCGGTTTAATTTGTGCGGTATGGTTTGTGCCTTGACACACTCCCACCGCATCGCACCACCACCGCACGGTCGCCGTGGATCTTGTGATTCTTGCGTGCCTTCTCATCAAGTTGGCTTCTCTTCCGCCCTGCATCCAATTTGTTCCTCTGGCTAGCCGTGATGATGAACAAGGTTTGAAGCCCCCCACGCTTTCCTGCCCGCTGGCAACTCATCGATGAGGCGTCAGATAGCCTCACAATCAATCACACGCATTCGCGGCAACGATAGGTCGGCCCGCTGCCGCCCGTTCACGGGACCGGCGTTGCCCCCTCAGGAGCTCGCCCTGCCGGCTTGGCTCCGCGCCCTCCCAATCTTATCAATGTCCCCGACGATTCAGACTCGGAAAATGAGCAATCAACGGTCCATCGCACTCCCTCCCTCGCGCGCCCCAACATGCGTGGTCCGCCCGCACCGAATAGTAATAACAATTCGGGCGTTATGGACCCGTTGGTTGGCCCTGCTGGCCGCTTACCCCCGGGTGTGGGCGCGGGCCCGCGTCGCGTTGTCTTCAACATGGATCTGCAATCTGAGCCGCAGCCGTTGCCCAACCGTCCCGCTACATCTGAAACATCCTCAAAGCCTGTCGAGGGCAAAGACGCACCTGACACAACCCGCATCTCAGCATACCCGCGCTTCCTTGCCGCCAAACCCCGTCTTGGCTACGGTCAGTTCCGTTTACAATCACCCCCTTCTCCCTCTTACCGCCCCGTCTTGAGCAGCCATGATGCGGTGCCCTCTTATTCAATTAATGGGGTTTTGCACATGCTCATGCTCATACGTACAATGTCTCCCGTTCGAGCAGGTCTTGCTGTGTTTGGACACGTGGTTGGTATCTTGGTTATTCTTGGCGTCATACTTGACACGCACTCTGACATCTTTCCAGAAAGCGGCCGACGCTCGCGCTGGAACTACCAGGTGCGCGGTGCGCCAGAGCACATCTATTCTGCCTACGATACCTCAAAGTCCCTCGCCAACCATGACTTTTCCTTTCTGGAGACAAAAGTGCCCGAGCAACCCCGAGGCAGTGTGCCCACCGGCGAGTTTGAGGTCATTCTCAAGTCAGACACCAACTGCCTCAGTGCGGAAAATCTGCGCCACCAGCAAGCCCTGGAGTACTATCTCCTCAATCACTCGGAATATCGCACAAGCTTTTGCCGCCGTTCCCAGTCTGATGGCGCTTGTGACGCTGCACGTGGTGTCTTGCGCCTTTTCGATGGTACCTATGCTTATCTGAACGTGACTCAAAATGGTCGCAACGTTTACGAGGTTGACGAAAACTTTCTCAACATTGATGAAGTGCTTTCAATTACCTATGAAGCAAACGGAGCCTCCGATCTGACTGCTCTCCAAAACGCTGGCCAGCCCTACCTCCGCGACATCCTCGATTATGCCGTCGGGGCCGGTACGTACAGCCGAACCTCGAGTTTCTGTGCCTCGCGCTCCTTCACTAGAGACACTGCTCCTCAAACCTCGCAATCACGTGCTTCTAGACTACGTGGGGGGAGTTGCACAGTCCACCGTGTGCCGCTTTGCTGTCTTGCTAGGTGGTCCTTTGCCTGGCTATCGCTCGGCATCTGATCGCCCTGAGGAGCAGCGAACACAGATGGGCCAATGGCTGCGTGCAAGCTTCGATGACTATCTCAATGACAAGCAGATGGGCGACATGACCGTTCTGTATGCCAATGACGCCTTGACTGCCGAAGTGCTCAAAGCAGACTACGATGACGTGCTCGAATGGCAGTTTTTGCCCTTGGTGCTTGTCTTTGGCATCTGCCTCGTTGGTACACGCTCCTTGTTCATGGCTTTTAACGCCGTTGTAAGCACTGTGGGCGCCACCGCGTGGGCCATCTTCCTCTACCGCTACGTCTGCGACTTTCACCTCTTTGGCGTGCCACAGCTCATGGCGCTGCCCCTGGCCGCCCTCCTAACAACCACCTCCACACTCATCGCCGCCGCTGCCGTTCGCCGGCTACTGTCGCGCGATCTTGAGCTTGAACTCTGCTTGCGCGCCATCGCCAATGCTGTCGTCCAGCACTGTCTCGTTATTGGAGCTGCCACCATGCTCAGCTTCTTTTTCCTCACCACCTCTCCCCTCCTTGAAGTTCAAGCGTTTTGCCTGTTGTGTGGCTGGTTGGCCTTTACCACCACCATTTCCGCCGTTCTCTTTCTGCCACTAGCTTGCTGCACTTGGGTCGTACTCTTCCATGCCCGGAAGCCTCCGGCGGGCGAGGCCCAACTGATGCCATGTCTGTCCAAGGCCTACTTTCGCCGCTGCGTGGGCCATGCTGGCTTGCGCTGGTTCTTCCTGGCCGCGCTGACCGTCCTCGTCGTTGTGTTTCTCATTGTGGCCATTGGTACCATCGAGTTTGATCGCAAACAGGTACACCAAACCAGGGAACCTCGCGAGCCGAGGCGCTTGATACTTGATCTCGTTCAAAAGACGTTCCCTCCCGCCACATATACACTTTGATGCGAGCAACGATGTTGCTTGGCTTGTTTTGAGTGTGCACAAACGCCAAACTCGTTGCTCATCTTGCTCACTCTGGACCGGGCTTTGTTGCTCACGATAGCCAAAACTGCTGCGCCAAACCACACCCCTGCAAGAGTTTCGGGAGCAAGCTCAGAACTTTGTGACCACCAACACCACCGCCGAAACCATGCTGGTGTTTGGTGTGCGTTTGCACGACCGCAAATGTCATGCCACTGACACAACTTGTGAAGAAAGTCTGGATTTTGAAACAAGTTGGGACCTGAACTTTGACACCCTTCAAGCTGCTGTACAGGTGCGTAGCGTGAATCATAGCAGGAGTGCTTTTGCCAGAATACTCTGTCACGGCTGCTCAGCGGTGCTTGGCGCACTGAGCCCCCGCTTGATTGCGCTCTGTCGACTGTCCGACTGATCCTATTCCCTTGTCACTTCCCCTGCCAGGCTGTCTGTGTGTCCTTGGCAAATGTGGATGAGACCACTGAACGTGCGTTGCGCCTCGGGCGCTCCGATCAGATCGACACAGCAACCAATAGTGGCGCCTTGCTGATCGATTGCCCAACGACCGCACTGGCTGAGCTCTTGGCGGAGCATGGCATGTCGTTTCCCCTCGAGACCAGTGATGCCATCAATCTGCAAACGCTTTACCCCAACGTGACTCCTGAGGAGAGTCTGCCCAACTCATACTATCGTTTCTTTGAGTATGGTCTCTTGACGGCCCTGGTGCAGAATGCCACCTTTGCAGATGGTGCACATTTTGCTCGCTTTTCCCACTTGGTTCACGGTGAAGCTGACTCGACAGCCCAAGTCGTCGAAGGTGTTCTCAATTCGAGCGGGTTGTACGGCGACCGTGTACAGGCCCTGCGAGTACGGGTGGGCCTTGACATCAACTACGAGGACGTGGACGTGGCCAACGGCAAGGCCGCCCTCCGTGCGTGGGACGAGTGGACAGCCAGCCTGCAGGCTCAACTTCCAACGGCTGCTACCACGCTCTTCCATGCCGGTGGCGATGATCGCACATGGCAATGGTTGTACATCAAAGACGTAAGAGCCACAACTTTCACACACTTGGTTGTGGCCATTGCGGTGCCACGTCTCATGTGGGTTGTGCTTGCTACCTTGTTATGTAGACGATTGAAACTGAAATGATTCGCAACTTTATCGTGGCTGGTGTGGTTTTCACGGTGGTTTTTGGCCTGCTGCTGGGCAACTGGGCGTTGGCCTTGATTGGCTTGATTGTCACGGCCATGGTGGTCATCCTGGTCATCGGTACCTTTGGCTTTGCGGACTGGACCTTGGACCTGAATTCGGTGGTGGGCTGCACAGTCATGGTGCCTCTTTGCTTGGATCTCCTTTCTCGTTTCCTCTTCGTCTACGACAAGTCTGCTGCCGATTCACGTGTGGGTCGACTGGAAACTGCTCTCAGCGGCGCGGCAGAGCCACTTCTCTTTAGTGCGTATCGCAACCCGTGCCTTGACATATCACCATATGTTTCAGCAGCATCGTCCCGACACCAGCTCATTCTTGCTTCAATCCTTTGTGTTGGTGCTTTGCTCCCAATGCGGGCAACAGGCTGCATCGGCGGCATGGTATTCTTCACCTTTGTTTACATGATGGAAGACTACTTTGTCTATACGGTACGGACCGGTCGAGTAACATGAAAGCTTGCATGCGGCACACAGGGTGTAACGTGGAGGCGGCATCGAGACTCATTTGACATACATCATCCGACCAAACCTGTACTTCGTAGTTTGGAACTATGATGATTGCTCTTTGTGGATTTACCGCCGTGTTTGGCCTCATCTTCTTGCCCAGCTATCTGGACGTGTTTGGGCCACAGTACGAAGAAGGCACCATCAAGAAGCTTCGACGCTCACGCGATTCTATCAACAGTGCAGGTTCAAATCTACTGACTGTGCAGACCGGTCCTTCAGGATCCTCCATGACAGAATCAGTCGAGACGGTGGTTGAGTAGACATGGTAGCAGCGGTGCCTGGTCATGGTCGTGTCAATTTTGCTATTTTTGACCGTTTTGTGCAGCTAGAGTCTTTGGTGTTTGTTGATTTTCTTTTGGTTGCCGAGTATATGCACTTCTCTTCTAGACCGACCTATTTCCGTTGTTTGTGTTTTCCTTTGGTGCGCTCTGCAGTAATTTTTTATTTTTTTATTTTTTTTTATTGATTTGACCAGACTGTCGTGGTTTGTGAGGTTGGACACTTGGGCAAAGCGTGTACATGTGAATGTGTGAGTGTGTGTTTGGTTTGACAAGACTTGGTGTCACAATGTTCGCCCATATCCCAATTCAACCCCGTATTTGCTTTTTTCTATGGATGGTATTTTGAAGCAAAATCGAGTGAACCAATAAATTGCCACTCTCAAAATCCCTTTGGTTGGCAAAGCAGCAAAACTGTTCGCCACGAAAATCGTATGAATCGCTTCAAAACTCTTTTACCTTGGAATTCAATCGTCTTGGACATGCAACTTCACAAAGAACCACTCAATCACTATCAAGTATTCAATTCATGTACACCGTGAGGCCTACAACTTGGTGTGCTTCCGGCGGCATCAAAAGCCATAAAGGAAAAAAGCCTGAAAAGAAAAAGAGAAGAAATTCAAAAGCGCAAACAAACAAAAATCAAGGGAGATAAAAATCGAACCCCCAACAATTCGGTTCAAATTCAAAGGAAACGTAAAAAACACCAGCCCAACAACACACTCATATAATATCGGTAATATGCGGCCGGGGGGGGGTGGGGTGGGGCAGAGAGACGAAAGAAAAGAAGAAGAAATGACGTGGGTTGCACAAAAAACTCGTAGCCAAATAAGACTAGGTTAGGTCAGACAAACAGGGAGCCTAGGATCAACTTGCACGTTAATCAAGTTGACATGTTGAACATGTTCTCATCAAGGTCAGCCAGGGAGTCCTACGAAACACATCCAACGTGCCACAAGTGAGGACCCGAGGACCTACCGCAGAGCTCGATACAAACCTGCCATTCACACATGTTGCCGCAAGCTTCATCGTAGACTCACCATGGAACCAGTGATGTCGTCCATGTCACGAAAGTTGCCAAATTCATGCTCATGAACCTAGGAAGAAGGTTCGACGGCATGAGCTACAGCTGCGGGAGAGCACGAGTGTTGTTACAAGCATCTACCTGCACGAGCAGCATCTTGACGAGACCGAATTCTTGGTCGTTCTCCTTTTGACACAGCCAGTAACCCTCCTCAGTGAACGCGCGCGTGCCCAGAACCCGGATGACATCGCCGACAGCAAAAGAATATTCTCGATCGTCCACAGCGTCATAGCTTTGGGTTGGCACAGCCAAGGCAACGGGTTCCAGGTCGATGCTCTGCAGCTCCTGTCCAAAAACAGTTCGCTGGGGACGCGCGCCGGCGTAGGTCCAGTTCAAACGCAGAAAGGTAGGTGAGAAAAGACCAAGCTTACAAAAGAGCACGGCTCTGGCCATCCCCGACTAACCGTCTTGTGTGCCCGGGTTGAAGCTAGAGGCTTTGGGGGCGGTGCGTCTTGCTGCCCTTGTTCCGGCTCGAGGCTGGCCCAGCTCATGTTCATTCTGCAAGTCCGCCAAAGACGGTAGGTAAGGTGGCGGCAAACTGACAATGTTAGGATGCTTTGAAGCAGCTGCGCTTGATAAGAGAACATGGGCGCGCTACAAGTTTGGTGCAACGTCAAACTTACGCCTGACTACGGCGATGACGGCTGCGGCCGCGCACCAAGGGTGTGACAAGGGCGTGCAGGATATCAAACATTTGTTTGGACTGGGACACCGAGAAGCACATAATGCCGGGACCGGTTGGGGCACGCCGGCCAGCTTCAAACCAGCAGACCTGCCACCCATGCATGAGAAGTATATCAGGTGTCATTTATATAAAAAAAAAAAAAAAAAGGTCCACATCAGGCTTCATGAGATCTAAAGGGTGGGGCCGATGACCACCACCCGCATGCAAGGACGTACGTGTCCAATGTAGCCATAGGAGCGAAGAACCGAATATTTCCATTCGATCAGCACTTCAGAGTTCTACCAAAGACGTTCCAACCAGTCAAGCACAGCCAACGGAACAAAAAAACAAAAAACAAGAAACAAAAAAAAAAAAAAAAAAATGGCTAAAATGAGTGCAGCGAAGGCAATGTACCGTGGGGTCGATGAGCTGGGCCCCATCCTTGTTGAGTTTGATCTGAGCCTCATGATGGCTCAGCTCCTCGTTGAGGATGTGGCCAAAGAACGAGGTCTCGAGATCTGCATCTCGGGCAGCAGCAGCAGCAGCATCGTCCTCAACTTCCAGGCCGATGACTTCCTCGAGCATGCTCATCCAATCTCGAGCCTCAGCGCGGCTGCTGGCCATGAGCCGATACGTTCGTCGCGGCAGGTGGACCTCAAAGAGCGAGTCCTGACGCGCAAAATTCATCGTCAGCTGTTAGAACGATAAAAATTTGCAGCATGTCTTGGCCGTGGGAGGACCCGATGTGAATGCAATGTTTGTCTGCCTTTCAACTTGTCTGTCTATCCAACTGGCCCCCTACCCCTCGCGGGATTGAACAAAAGGATGGGAGGTGGGGTTGAGTACCTTGGGGACGTTGCGGTATTGGCGGTCTGTGGCCAGAATATCAGCAGATGGAGGCCCCACTGAACGAATCTTGTCGAGGTCAATAACACCCTTGGGCTTGCTTCGCAAATGGGAGGTGTAATATTCCAAGTAAACTGGGCCACCAGAAAGCGAACGATCCAGGGAGACCACGAGCTTGAACCAGCGCCGCTTCCAGCCTTGGACGCGATTGTTGCGAGGAGGCAGCTTGGACAAATAGCCCTCGCGCAGAACATCACGATAAAACACGTGATCATCCCTGTTCAGCAAGGTCCCTACGACCTGCTTCCCCGAGGCTTTGACAATGTCCGAGAGAGAGACGTTTCGTCGTCGTCGACCCGGCGCCGCTGGTGAGCCTACAGGGCCCAACTTTTCGGCTTCCTCCTCTGGCGATAGCAGTGATGGCCGCTCCGGTACGCTTGGGGCTTCAGATTGCAGCGTGTTTTGGCCGGACCGGTGTGACGAGAGGCGAGCAAAGACTGCGGGGATGACCTCGACGTTGGAGTCACGATTGAACTTGAGCTTGCGTCCAGCGTTATCACGGCAGACCACCACGACTTTGTCATCCTCGTCCTTTTCAAGGGTGATGAGCTTAAGCACGGCCGATTCTGGCAAGATCACGAGATTGCAGATCGTAGCCACAAAGTTAGGTGCAAGGTGTACGACTGCGAGGTGAGCAAGGTGAGGGACTGCTACTTACGAGAGAGTGGGACTTGCTCGCCAGTGTTTGCGTCTGTCGCGAAGACCTCATAATCGCAGTGAATCTAGGTCAGGTGGGTGAATATGAGTGCGTTCCGAATTTGACTGGCCGGTTGGATAGGGGGTTAGGCGGGGCCTTCCTTCGCGTTGGGAAGCACGAACCAGCACTTCAGGAGCGTGATCAAGGCCAGAGGGGTGACGTTGCACAGTCTCGTAGAGATGCTCATCCAGTAGGTCACGGTCGCCAATACCAGCAACGCTTGCCAGGCTGTCGCGGACCAAGCCCTGTTTGTGGAATGACACTCGGGTAAGTATCAGCGCAAACTAAAGTCGCGAGCACGGGCGACGGGGCAGCATACCGAAAGGGAAAGGCCGACTCGGAGACGATTCTATGCCAAAAACAAAATATGAGAAGCTTGTGAGAAATACGCGACCGTACCGGCGGCTGGGCACGGGGTTGCCAACAAGCGTAGGATGCTAGCCCCAGGCATAATTTCACGCACTGTGTCTTGAGGTTCGACGTATTCACCATCCGAGTCATCATTCCAGTGCAGATGGTTGACGGCTTCCAGCACACTTGCACTGTGGGGCTCCTTGCGGTTGACGGGCGGAGTGACATTGCCACTCGAGCCATCGGAAGCTGAAGGTGCAGCAATCGGTCGTCGTGGGGGTGGCGGATGATCCGGTGCCAAAGGTTGGTTTTTATTTTCCTTGGGGGCTTCACCGTCAGCCTTTTTGGTGGTTTTGAGTGAGTTGACGTTGGACTGTTTGATTCCCATGGCCGCGGCCAGACGGCTGGGCTGATCTATAAGGAGGCAGTGAAGATCGGCCGGGGTTGGAGGCAAGTTTGGTGCGTTTGGAACTCAAAAGAAAGGTGCAGACTGATACGGGAGGAGGGGGGTCGAGGAGTGCTCGCTGGATATGCGGGCGCTGGTGACGGACCATATTCGTAAGGGGAATCTGTTTCCCGCTCCACCCAAGTCCGGAGCGGAAAGGGGAGGTGGTGAGGATGCTCCAGCAAGTAGTGGAGCACGCTGGAGAGGGAGCGAAATTTGGGAGACATGCCTGGCGGCGTTGCATCGTGTTGAGCAGTGGAGGAACCAGATGCACGCGCGTGCATGTGTGTACACGGCAGAGGTGCGGAGGAACGGAAGAGAGGTGTATCTACCGGTATCAAGGCGAAACTGCAGGAATGGGGCCTTGGCAGAATCTGTGTTCTCTTCGATCTGATAGTGATCAATGCGCCCCTCCGAGCAGGCAGAGAGAACAAAGCTGTCGCCCTTGGTGCTTGCACGCACGAGAAAAGTCCCTAACAAGTGGAACAAAGTCGTTCAGCAGGGTCGAACAGGACCATTGTGGCCGACACACGGCCTGGATGCCGATGCGCGTCTGCAGGGGGCGGGAAACATGCCTGCAACGATGCCATCCTTGGCCAGAATCATTTCCGCATCGCGACGTGACATGACACCATGATACCTGGGAGCAATCGTACACATGGGTTTGAGAGGGAAGCGTGCGCGGGCCTCAGTCAGAGCTTTGGCAACACCAGGGCCAGGCAAAGCGGGTCGGCCAAAAGGCGAGCCTAAAAGGACTCACCACCGCGGGTAGAATTCAGGGTCGCGGGTGGAAAGACCCGTGTCCGTCTCGGTTGATTCGGACATGGTCGGAGTTTATGCTCACCACCGATCCGTGGCTACTGCCCACACACATGCACCCACAACCATCGAAACTCCTGCCAGGATCGACAAGCTCCACCCCCCTAAATCAGGGGCACGTCTCACAAGCGCAGCACCCAAATTATTAGATCCACGCCTTGATCCAAAAAAAAAAATAAATTAGCTGATCTGTATGATCTGCTGAGAGAGAGAGTGAGAGAGTTTGAGAGAAAGAGAGGGAAATCGAGAGGAGTTTGAGAGAGAGAGAGAGAGAGAGAGAGAGAGAGCGAGCAACACACTTCAGTCGCGTTCACAGTGTGAAATTAGCTACGAAAAGTGTAAAAGATGGTGCATAAACTAATATGGCCAATACTAACAAAACGTTAAAATGTACCTTTATATCGTCGTGTAGTCAACAGATCTGGTGGACAACCCTCAAAGTCATCTATCTACGATCAAAACGAAAAAGCAAGTATGGCCACCCCTTGTCCTTTCGCCTCCTTCCTCCCCGAGCACCGCTATAAATGTACTCACATGTCAGTAACTGGATACTTGTACGTTGCGGTCTTTTTTGGGTTAGAGCAACACTGGTGATGATACGATGGGGCTTTGTGGAGGCTGGGGATTTTTGTTTGATTAGACGCTGTCATGTAATGTAGTTAGCCCTTTCACATAACCGACCGGGGCAAGTGGCCTCACCTTGCGACGGTTGAGGGTACAACGGGTTTGGTTCAAGATTTGCAGTCGTACAGGTGATGGATGGTGTCTGAACGCGGGCCTCGCCTGGAGAGGGTTGAAGCTGTCGACTCAATTTCTATGCTTTCACTGTGTTTGATGTCCAGTGCGACACAACGCACTGCTGCACCGAACCAAGAGGAGAGGCGCAACGTAGAAGAATAAAGGGGCAAAAGGTAGAGGTGGAGAAGGTTGACAACGCAATGTGGTGAAGTTGTCGTTCTTACGACTTCATGGTAATCTTATGCTTCTTCTGGAAAGCCGCCAGCTCGTCCATCTTGTTCTGTTGCAATTGCTTCAGTTGTTGGAGCATGGCATTCATCTGTGTGTGTGTAAGCAGAGCAGGAGGAGAATTGTTGAGCAGGTTCATTGCATCGTTTCGGCAGAAGCACCTTCAGCGCCACCGTCGTGCAAGCGCAAACCTGTTCATAATTTTTGGTAACGGCGGGCAGGATTTCTTGCACACTGCGCTCCACCAGCACCTCACCAATCAGACGGTAGGCCTTGCGCTTTGGGTCAACCTTGCGCAGTGTCTCAGACACCCGCCTAGAGAGGAATGCGTCGGCAATGGCGAATGGCGGGGCAAGGTTTGGCGGGGTGACCAGCCGAGGCGAAGCACACGAAAGGATCAGCTCAAGCTGCACAGATGGAGAAGAAGAAAGATTCAAGGTCGACCAGACTGGTGCGGCAAGCAGGCGCAAAACGCGCCAGGATGAGGACGTACTTGTACTCTTCCGTCTCGTCGGAGAGATCCCCAATTTTGCCACCGATCAATCGAACATCCTCACGCAAGTCATTAAAGTGCGCAATGATCTCCTGCTGCGTCTGGGGCTCGGCCTTTTTTGCTTGCGCCCTGCATTTGTCGCAACGAAAGCGAGTCAACAATACAAGACCCAAATACGCAACGAATTGCCAGGAAGTAAGTGTTGCGTGTGTGCGCGTGTGTGCGTGTGTTGTGTGGGCGAGGTGCCGCCGTCCGAGCGACCGTGCAATGAGAGAGGTCGCCTGCAGACGGAGGTCCGAAGCGGTTTTGGGTGCATGCCTGCATCAAGGGAACGGTATGGTACCGTTGAAACGTACATGGCTAGCTGTGTTGTAGTCTTATACGAGCTGATGGTTGAATCAGGTAAAGCGGCGCTGCCGTTTGGACGCTGAGCGCTTTTTTTTTTCGGTTCCTTGGTCGTCAACTCGTCTTGTCGAAAACAGCAATTTAAAACACTATCTCACAAGTCTAACGTTGGACACATTTCTTAGACAACAAGAGCGAGTGAGAGAGAAGAGAGAGAAAGAGAGAGAGAGAGAGAGAGAGAGAGAGAGAGAGAGAGAGACAGAGGGAGAGAGAGAGAGAGAGAGCTGTTCGTTCGGTGAAAAACGGCAGCCGTGTGCTGCTGGAGCAAAAGGGGCTGGAGAGGGTTCTGAAGAGGGGCGAGGATCTGATCTGTTCTGCCCTGCTCTGCTCTGCGGTGGCTTGAAGCATCTTGTGCGGTCGGGTGGCATTGAGGGTGGAGGTCGAGGCGGTTTTGTTTTTAGAGAGAAACGCCAGGATGGCTGGTTGTGATGGAGAGGATGGGCCAACACGGCCACCCTCTGGTTGGCAGCGATGGCATCAATCTCATTCGAGCCATGGGGTATCCTCCTGTGATTGCAGACATCATGGCTGATAACGGTGAGAGCGGTGAAGTTCAGGACCTGACGGTCGTCGTGCAGAACCTGCTGACGCAGATGGTACGTGGTTGTTGTGACGTGATGGTCGCGTCTTGGGTCCGCCCTGACGTGGCACCACAGACTGCATCGCTTCTTCTTCTTCTTCTTCTTGTTCTTGTTCTTTGCCTGTCAAACTCTTTGCTTGTCGTGTCGTGGCGCGTGTCGTGGCGCATCTCGGGCTGGGCTCATCTGAGGGGTCTCATCTGACGGTCCCACGTTGTTCCATGCCTGGACTTGAGTGCAGCAAGACAAGTTTCAGAACATGAGCGATCAAATCGTCGGTACGGCCTCTTCGCTCAGACCAAACCAAACCAAACCGAACCAAGCCTTTGCCATGTTCTCTCGTCTTTGCATTCCTCAATTTTGCTTCTCAACCTCGGCTTCCATCTGTTTGGCCTGCGCATGTGTTCGGCGCGTGATCGCGTGCGTGGTTTCTTGCAGGTCGGATCGATGAGATGGGTTCGCGCATTGACGATCTTGAGAAGAACCTCAGTGATCTGATGGAACAGGTTGGTTTAGCGTTTGCCAGCACCCCAACTTGACCTGAACTTACTCCTCCATCAAGTCTCACTCTTGCACCTGCACGGCTGCGCACAGGCGGGTGTGGATGAGAGCAAGTAGGGGTCACCAGTGATTCTTCATGCCCTCCAGCCCCTGTGAATTTCTGTTTCGAGCCTGATTGTCTCTTGTGGGGAGGAAATCCACTACTAGAGGTGGACATTGTGGGTCAGCACGTTGTCAAGCCCACCCGAATGGTTTTGTGAAACCATCCCGTGTTGTCTGTATTCGCGTGTGCTCGTCAATTTCAATGCCAAAAAGCAAAGTGACCTGGGTATGCTCGTTTACTGTTTGGGCCCAAGCCAGTGCTTTTTTTGTGCGCAGGGACACGTTCAATAACATGTCGGTCAGCTCAGCTGGCCAAACAAATCAAACACTGCAGTCTCAGACATTAGGGCCCTCGCGCATTTTCTATCAAGGCACTTGTGTGTGGTTAGTCGGTCAAGTGTGGTGCTGACCATGTAAGTCGAGATGTAGCACCACGCTGACATCCTTTGGCTACGCGCAAAGGTGCGGTGTTCACAGCACACAACTCGGAGCGGTGCCATTACCGAGGCCAGTGGCCTGGTTGTTGTTGTTGTTGTTGCTGCTGCTGTGGATAGTGCTGGTATTGGTACTGTTGGTACTGGTGATACTGCGGGTGCGATTGGTACTGATGCTGAGTTTGGTGGGGCGAGGCATACTGCCCACCATAGCCTCCGTTTTGCCAAGCTCCATAGCCTTGCTGGTAGTGGTGGGCCGGGTAGCCCTGGCCCACCGCATATTGTGGATACGCTTGGCCGGCAAACGATGGGGCAGTCGCCCCATGGCCTGGCGCACTGGGGTGATGGCCCTGCTGCTGGGTTGCGCCAGATTGCGGTGTGGTGGCCGTCGCCTGGCGCACGGGTTCGGTGCTCGGTGCCGGCCTGCTTGTCGTGGTAACTGCTGCGGAAGTTGTGGCGAGCACAGACTGTTGCGAGAGTCCTGATGTGGGGGTCTGCGAGACCGGCGCCAGAACCGGATTGGAGGGAGGAGGCGGGGGCGGGGGCAGAGACGAAGGCGATGTTTGAATCGCGGTGGGGGCCTGGGAATCGGCAGCTGTTGTGGAGGACATCTGCTTCGTGATTGTCGTCATGGTTCCAGGCAGGCCTTGAGCTGCTCGCTCAAAGCGTAGCATGCGCGGTCGTTGCCCCCCAGTCTCTGAGCTAGAAGAAGCTCGATCTTTTCCTTCTCCTTTTCCAGCCGTCTGCATGAATGGACTAGTGGATGCTCCACTTTGGGCGGGAGGGTTTGACGATGGCGGAGCTGCCTCGACTTGGCCCCCACCACCGATAGCACCGCCAGTACTCGTTGTTTTCTTGCGAATAATGCCAAAGGACAAGGCGGCTGCCTTCTGAGCAGCCAAATCCTCATCAGACTCGCCTTTCTTCTTCTTCTTCTTCTTTTGCTTTTCCTCCTTTTCTCTCTTCTTCGATTCTGTGATGAGGCGACATCGCGAGGGTCACGGGGCCGGAATCACGCTCGCGTGTAAGTGATGGCGCGCAGGCGGGGTACACGGACCTTTACTGTGGCGGGCAGAGAGGGCTTTGAGGTCTTTGAGGCGCTTGCGGTGGTGATGATCGTAGGAGGAGAGATGATTTTCATACTCGGAAATCTGAAGTTTGATGTGTCATAGCAAAAATACCATCACGGTGAAATCGTGTCTGGGCAAAGGGCGCTCAAATCGGCGCTCAAGAAATGGTGATGGGCCAATCGGCTTTGACGGACCTTTGTGTACTGCTTGTTGCAGACTTCGCATAGAAAGACTTGGTTTTGAGCCTTGACAGCAGCTTGAATTTGCTCCTGCTTCTCGGCCTTGGCCTATGCGCCCCATACGTGTCGTCAGCGAGCACGATTCAAATGCAGACGCGTGGTCAGCAGCGACCTGCCTGTTGTGCTTGGAGATATGCCGTCGTTTGCTCTTTCTCAGTCTCTAAAAGCCGTCTTGACTCGGTGGCTTTTACGGCCATGTCGGTTTCCAGAGCTTGGCGGCCGATGCCCATAAAGTCTTGCTTCAGCTCAAAAGGCACAGGCTCCACGCGACCTATCCATGAGCTCGAGGTAAGTCCTGCATTCCCAATTGGCTCAGCCCTCTTCTTTGCTGCTTTCTCTCTCTGAAGCTTGGCCAAGCGTGGATCTGACCTGCACCAACGCGCCCAAGGCCTTCCCCCTGGGTCCAGCCCATTTTCCGCAGCAATGCAAAGCCCTTGTTCTCCTGTGCAACCACGGGCGCCAGAGTGACAGCCATTGGCCGCCGAGAAGCAGGTTGTCAGGCAAGAGAGAGGGTGAGAGAGAGAGAGAGCGATTGCGCGAGTGGTTCAGGCATGGCTTCTTCAAAAGGCAATCAGTCCTGCCACTGTTCGGGCAGAAACGGACAGACCTGCGGGATGTGCTGGTCCAGAGAGGCCACCTGCACGTTTTCAAGGTCAACGTAGCCTGTGGGTGGTCCCATGGGTAGGCGCAATTCACGATCCATGTAGCGCTCAATAGCATCACCCATTTCCGCCCGCGCTGCCTTGGTGGTGAGCGCTTCCGCCTGAGCCTCCCGCTTGGCCGCTGCCTGCCGATGCGCCTGCATGGCCGACCAACGTGCCGATGGTTCACCCGTCGCCATCGCAGGCCGTCGAGACAAGAAAAACTGAGAGAGAAAATGAGAGAGAGAGAGAGATTGAGATTTGTCAGACGTTTGATGTTGTGTATGTCAGACTTTTCAATGCCATTGTCAGATTTTCAAGTGCACGCTGAACGCACAAACTTTCTCTCTCTCTCTCTCTCTCTCTCTCTCTCTCTCTCTCTCTCTCTCTCTCTCTCTCTCTCTTCTTGCGTGCTCACGCAAGGTGCAAGAATATGAGGCTTTTTTGAACGATAAGCTGCGTGTTGATCTGCGGTACGGCACGTTGGCGGTGCATGCTGTTCTAGTGCTGCCGAGCGTGTGTCCTCGCTCGTCGGCTTTCACGCTCTCTCGTACGGTCTGACTGGGGTGTGGCTGTATGCGGCACGATGTCCGACTGTAGCAAGCTTCAGCTGGAGCATGACCGCATTCTCGAGGAGGCAGCGGAATATCACCGCCTGGAGCAGATGGTACAGAGTCTCAAGGTCTGTCCAACTATCAAGCGGTTGTGAGCCAGCACCGGCCATCATGCCCCTTGACCCAGCTGTCCTTCGCCTGACGCCACCTTGAATGGAATGGGTGGGATAGGCTGCCAAGGCACGCAAGGCGCTCGGCAGTGTTCTAGAAACCCAGGTTGATCTGGGCAACAACATTTTCTGTCAAGCTGATGTGTGAGTGTTTCGAGTGGGCATGTTTGTTTGGTCTGCAATTGCCCCGAGCTTTTCGCTGCACTCACGGTGGTACTTGCTGTGTGTGTGTGTGTGTGTGTGTGTGTGTGTGTGTGTGTGTGTGTGTGTGTGTGTGTGTGTGTGTGTGTGTGTGTGTATGTATTGGTCCATGCTTTTGGGATTTTCTTTGTAAAGCGAGGATTATGAGCATATCTTTGTGGACGTAGGTCTCAATATTAATGTACAGATGACTTGGGACGAGACAAGCGAGTTTGCCCACAACGAGGCTGAGCGACTCCAAGAGTACGTTTCTTCTTTTTTTTTTTTTCGCGTTGTCAGGCACAACCAGCCAGATCATCGAATTATCGTCTACTGACGGAAGATTTGCCAAGCGATACTCTCATGCTGCACGTTTGTGGCAGGCGCGCGGCCAGAGTGGCGGGGCAGGTCGCACACGTCAAAGGGTTGATTCAGATGGTCTTGGAGGCGCTGCGGGAAATGCAAGGCATCGGAAACGAGCCCACGCGTGAGAGTCATGATACCTTTTAGAAAACTTGATCGTGATGGTTCCCTGAATGTCCCTTTGTTCTTGCTGAGTCCTTCACGCGTGAATCGCTTCCTGATCGTGGTGGTATCATGCCTTTGACCAGCACTTGTTTCGTATTCCCCCTCGCTATTTGCTGGCTGGGCCAGCACCGTTTTTACTGTTTCTCTCAAAATCTATCGGCCAACCACGAATCAAGCAAGGCAGTTGTGTCAAGTGTGTGATTGCATCTTGGATTTGCACAGATGGCCACCACGAGAGACGCCTTTGCAGGCAGAGCCAGGTCATTGGGATCAAAGAGTTGGTCAGTCAAACGCAGAGCTATGATTGGTGGGGTCACACGTTTACAGGCGCGAAGGCTCACACAGACACACAGACACATTTTCACATCCATGCATACCACCCAAAATTCGAGCCATGGTATTGGCATGCAGAACCATGCACTTGCAGTACGTAAGCGCACAGAGATGAACACATAATCAAAAGAGGTGGTGCCCGGATGTAAGGGAGTGGCAAACTAGTCCACAAAGTATATTGCCACGCGCCTTATCAGCGGCACGGGAAAGTGGATCGGGTTTGGGACTTGGCTCTGTCACACATGTCCACACGGAGACTACAAGAATGATGCACGCGTGTACAGGGCGTTGCCCGTGCCGCGGTAAAAAGTAAAAAAAAAGAGAGAGAGAAAAAAAAAGACAAAAGAAAAGGAAAGTAGCCAGAGCGAGGGCCTATGCAGCCTTTGATTTGCCAGTCGCAGCGTTCTCAGACATGCTGCGGGCCACAACGTCATGTACGCTAATTCAAAGGCAATCAAATAAGTGAGCAGAAAGCTGAGAAAAACAAAACAAAAAAGGTCCAAGCCACATGCTTGTGATTGGTGGAGCACGAGTGATCAAACGAAGCGACGCACCTCTGGCCGGGTAGGTAGCCGGTGGGATAGCGGAAAGAGCCACCAAGGCGATCCCAAAGGGTTGTGTACTGGCCGTAGTTGTAATTGAAGAAGAGATGATGATCGGTGTGATGGGCACAGCTGTTCACAATGGGCTATTAAAACACGCGCAGTCCATGACCAAGAACATTGCGGGCGGCGCAGAAAAAGAGGACAGCAAAATTGGATGAGCACCTTTGCTGAGCATGGAAAAGACAGCCTTTTCGCCTTTGCATAATGTTATATGGCATGGCTGAAAGCGCGTTCAACGCCCGGGGTGCGCAGCGGTCCATGTGGCGAAACGGAGGACCAACCTTGAGCAGGTCCGGAACACGGTAGTCGTTGTCGTGGATAAGGACGCTCCAGATGTTGACGAACATGAAAAGGCCGAGGTACAGACCCTTGTGGAGCGGGAAGAGGAAGGGGTAGATGTGGTAGGGCATGCTCTGGGCAAAACCGTCAAGGGGATGGAAGGCGTGCGAGGCAAAGGGGGTGGGGACTTTCCACTTGTGATGAATCTTGTGCAGGAAGTAGATGGACGGGGCGTGCAGCCCACGGTGAATCCAATAGATGCTGAAATCGGTGAAGAGAATGAAAGCCAAGCTAGAAAAGGCCATGAACCAATAACCACCATGCTCCTGGGGGCTGTCGTAGAGCTGGCTATAGCCGCGGACTTCGGCGAGGAAAAAGAGTGCCGTGGGCAAAGCCATGCCGGGCACGGCACTCAGGGCCGTCTGAATCTCCAGCTTTTCCTGTAATTTGGCCAAGCCCGCGAGGTGGGGCCTGGGTCAATCCGGCAGATACCTGATCCTTTAGGAAGAGTTTGTGTTGACGGAGCTTGTGGTCGAACAGAGTGTAGTAGCTGATGGTGGCGGGGATCAGGTAGGTCAGAGCACCGCCAACCAAGGTCATAAAAAGAAGGCTTGAGAATTGGCGCATCCAGTTGTCCTCAGGGATCCATTCTGGATAGACATAAGGGGTGAAAAAGTGCTCGTCGCAAAGGTCCAAAGCCCAATCCATGGTGCCGGTTCTCCTCTAGACTGACATGCCAGCGACACAGGGGAAGGGAGGGAGGGCGAAACGTTGAGGCGAGCGGGAAACAATGACGAGGAGAAGTGGTGCGATGACCCCAGTCAAAAGGTCTCGCCCCCTCTCAACCAAAAAGCAGTCCCAACAAGTCGCACGCATCGGGAGATGACACAGGGCAACGGCACGTTCTTGATCCCGATGCAAGACAACAGGACACCGACACCATGTGTGTGTGTGTCAGCGTCCCGACGAGCCCCGGCATTCACAACGACACGACACAGGTTCACTTTCCACGTCCAAACAAGAGGGTAGAACAGGTGGAAACGAGGCAATGTCGAGGCCAAGGGTATCGAGCCGACGGCGGAAAGCAACGGCAGTGTAGTACCTGAGAGCTACAGGGAGAGCTACAGGGCGGCGGGCAGGGAACGACAGTCGTCGAAACTGCCGCTTGAGTCGGCGCGACGACGACACGAGGAACAGCCACTTGTTTGCTTGACTAAACGTTCTATACGAACACCTTATTTTGATGCATCTACTCATTGAAATATGAGCTTGTAATCAGCATAAATTCGCAGAACTTCTACATGATCTAGAAAAGATACTGCATGATCTGAATGTTGTTGCAGCCTCCTGAATCTACATGTGCTTCGATTCACACTTGTGACGTCAAGAAGCGTGACAAGAATCACACTTTACGCGTTCAATTTCATTCCGCTGATGAAATTCGCCCCACACAAAGTGTAATAGAAAGCACGCATTTAATAAACGTCAGCATGTTTGCAACAGGTGATTTTGAACACCCAGACGCAACGTGAAATGTTAAGTTTTATCTGACAATATCAATGTCAGCCATAACGAGTTTATCTGACAAGCAGATCGGTGAGAACTGATGTTTTTATGGTTTTTGGTGTTGAGGGATTTTTGTTGACGTCGTCGTCTGCTCCAGACTGCAGGCTGGGGCGGGGTGGCGCGTTGTTGGTAATCGTTGCGGAAGCCGTCATGGCGCTGCTGTCCATGTCGCGTGTTTGGATGGCCAGCGCAGCTCTGGCCGTGGTAGCCATGCTGCTGCGCGGCCAACTCATGACCGCCCTTTTGCTGGCCGTCGTCGGAGCCGTCGTCTTTGCCGTCTTTGATGGTGGTTCAGACTTGCCCCCTGCACCATCAGAGGAGCTTGCCGGCTCAGGTGCAGAGGGGGCGCGGCCGGACGCTGGTACTCAGGGGTAGGTCACAAAACGGTGCCCTGCCGGACCTGTGCCTTGCGTTTCCCTTGACTCTGGTTGCGCCCGCCCATTTGAATTGGCGACGACGCCGAGCTTACGCGCTTGATGTGCGCATAGGCTGGGGTTTGAGCAAATGATCACTCAAGTGCAGGCCAGCGTACCGAGCGTCAAACGCGAAGCCATTCGTCTCGATCTTGGTTAGTTTGCGCCTCTCCAGCCGCGCTAATGCTCAATGCTGCAAGACTTTGTCTGCACCATTTTGGCATGTCTGATGGCGACTGACTTTTTGATTGCCATGTAACCTTGTGAACGGACCAAGCAGAGAACACACGCAACGTGGAGCAAACCATCGCCAATCTGCTGGCGCAGCGACATGCGCCCAAAACCGATTTTGAAGCTCGCAAGAAAGCGCTCTACGCTGACGCTCGAAGGTGTGCCCAAGCATGATCCTCATACTACTTTTATCATCGACTTTTCTTCTTCTTCTCCTTCACGTAGCCTGAGAGTTGATCAATCTGATTGACCCTTGCTTCGTCTTGCCCCCTGGTCCTCCTTCTAGGCGCTACCTGGACAAGCATGCACCCGCCACCGCCCACTGAGTGGGGTCCCTGAACAAACAATTGATTTGACTCGAACGTTGGCTCATGAAAAGACCTCTGTCACTGGTTTCGCGCTCTGCAATTCGCGGACAGCCGGACCAACCAACTTTAGCCCAGGAAGCCGCTACCAACTGAAAGGATGACAAATCTGGAACGGCCCGGATTGTCAGCAGCCGGTGGCGAGATCAAAGTGTAGCATATGTTACACGTGAATTGAAAATTTCGACAAACGTGCAGAGAAAAGGGAGAGCGTGTACGAGTAGGAAGCGACCGCGAGAGAATGTCAGAGGGACGAGATGCAAAGAAGAAGGAGCGTAGTGGTTTTCAAAGGGGAAACGAGAGAATGAGCATGTCCTAGAGCACTTTCAGAGAATTTGAGAGAATCTTCAGAGAATCTTGCAGGTAGGAAACTTGTCTTTTTGACTTTTTTATTTTCAAGTTTCAGGCAGGTGGCTCTCTCTCTCGTTCGCTCTCTCTCTCTCTCGCTCTCTCTCTCTCGTGTCTCGTGTCTGGTGCAGGGACGTCGGGTCAACCTGCATGTGTTGCTTCTGGGCTTGGTTTGCGCCTTGCGTTTGAATCAAATGGGCTGGGTTCATGGGTCGTCTGCTGATTGCTGACTCACGTGTTCGTGCCCGTGTGCATCGAGGAAAAAAAGTTGATGCTCGGGTCAGCTCCCTTTGGCAGTCCAAGCCGCGCGCCAACCGCTCACGCAGGTCTCTCGCTGCTTTCGTGAACAGGGCCTGATTGAAAGCGCCCGGCTCTAGCTGATGCTTCTTATCTCAAGTCAGAGCGGGTGCAGACGTGCCTGCACTTCCCGCTTTGTTGGGGTGTCAACGGCTCAGGCTAGCTGGCGCTCTCGCCCAGCTCCTGGCCAGGTGGCCTCATTGGTGCGTGGATCACAGCACCCCAGCCTTGTGCCAGCCAGAAGATCCGTCGTTCAGCACAACCACGGCCTTGCTGCTTGCCCCTGTGCCCACCCCTTCACGGAGCACGGCCGCCTCTTCCCCCCCGGAGCTTCTACGACCTACTTCTTACCAGCAGCGCTTAATCTTTCAGCAACCCCGCGACATGGATGATCTCATTGGCCGTATCGAGGCGGCTTCGATTCGTGATCGTCAGGACCTTGTCGAGAGGCTTGTTGTTGAGTTGCAGGCCTCTCCTTCTCATCTAGCTTTGGGTGACGTGAGCCGTCTCGTTCGTGAACTCGCCACCTGGATCAAATCCAGCAACCTCAAGGTACAGCTTGATGGGATCGTCAACAGCCCAAAGCTTTTTTTTTGGGCTCATGTACTGGCCCCGGCTGACCGATCGCTCTTCTGCCCGTGTCTAGGTCTATCATGGAAGTGTCAAGGCCATTGCTGCACTCGCTGAGCGCGTGGGCGAAGCCTTCCGTCCCTTTGTGCCCGAAGTTCTGCCCGGCGTCATTGAGCGCCTCGGTGACAACAAGGAGCCTGTGCGCGATAGTAGCCTTGAGACCCTCATGATCATCATGAAGGGTGCCGCCACACCACAAACCGTCTTTGACGAACTCGGGCCCGCCTTTCGCCACCGCAACTGGCGGGTGCGGCAGTCCGTGCTCATGGCCCTCGAACAAACTCTCATCAGGTGACCGTCTCGCCACTCCATGTATACTGCTGGCCTGCGTTGCTCACACGGGCAATCTGCCTGCGTTATGCAGGCCCCCCTACCCCTTCTCTCTTTTTTCTACTACATTCTTTGGTGTCACACCCTCCGGTCCACACTAACCTTACACCTTTTTTTTTTTTTTTTTTTTTTTTTTTTTTTTTTTTTTTTTTTTTTTTCAATAGTTTTGGAGCCTCGGCGGTCAGCATCTCTCGCCTTTTGGATGACCTGATTGCCAACCTCTCAGATCCGAACGAGAATGTACGTTTTTCATTGGATTTGTCGAGCCTGCACCGAGTTGAAAGCCCACTTTTGACAGCCATCGCAAATTGTCATTATTCTCATTCATCTCCTCATGGCGTTGCAGGTGCGCGAGGCTGCCATGTCTGTGCTGGGCGAGTGCTACCGTCATATTGGTGCCCGGTTGCGCCTGGACCTTGAGAAACGCAAGGTGCCGGCAGCCAAGCTGTCCCTGCTTCAAACACGCTTTGCAGCCCTCCGTGACTCTGGTGCCATGTTGATTGAAGATGAAGATGACGGCGAAGCCTTCCGCCCCACGAGCTCTGACAGCACAACCAGCAACCCCCGCCGTTCTCGCGAACCCAAGCGCCGAGGGTCAGAATCTGCCAATCGTTCCCGAGCCAACTCAACGTCCAGCGCAGCCTCGAGCGCAGGTGGTCCCGGCCCACGTGCCTCCAATGCCAGTATAAACACACGAGCTGTCTCGTCTCGCATCTCCTCTCACCTCAGTGCCGGTCGCAACAAGGTGCGTTCTCCATTACCCCCGCCCTTGCCGTGGCGCGCAAACCAACAACAAGAAGGGGAATGGCAAAATCAGCAACAGGAATAACAAATCCAGCTCTTTTCCTCATGTGCCATGGTATGGCTGTGGTCTAAATAGGGCGGCGGAGTCTCCGAAGAAGAGTATCAAGCGCAGCTAGATGAAACCATTCCCCTGTCCATGGGAGAGCGCGAAGCTTCATCCTTTTTGAGCGATGCCAACCGCGTCTTACAGGATACGTCGGGTGAATGGGAACCCCGGGTATGTTTCCACGTCACAACAGTTCTTGGCCTGCGCTATGCACACTTCGCTCGACGCACCTGGCATGACGCGCTTGGCACTTGACCATACCACGAGCTGATGCTTCGCTCACCTTTATGTGGTATGCAGGCCGATATGCTGCGTCAAATCCGTGCGCTAGCGGCAGCCGAGGATCTGGATGTCTACCGCTCCTTGGATGACGACGTTCGCGCCATTACAGTATGTCCCTAGCCACAGCTGATATCAGCAGGGTGACCTGGATTCCAAAAGATTTTCAAGCTGGTTCTTTCTAGCTTGCTCTTGCGTCCTTTCCCTTCATTTGTTCCTTTTTCCATCTTAAATTTCTTCTGTCGACATGTTTTTTTTTTTTCGACTCTAATCTGTGTCGGGGTCACCGCCCTCTCTACTTCCTTACCTCGCCACACATCCCAGGCTGCGCTTGGCAAATCGGTCGAAGACCTGCGTTCAGCTATCGTCAAAGAAGCTTGCCTCACGGTGACCATGGTATGACTTGTCAGCAGTTTGTTCATTCTTAGCACATCATCAGAATTTTTTTCCATGTATCACCGGGCCTCATCCATTCCATCTTACCGCCACTCCATGTCATAGTTTGCCATTCGTATGCAACAACGCTTTGCCTACTCCGCCGAGTCCATCATGGGTCCCCTAATGAATCAAGTGGCAGTCAGCATCAAGGTCTGTGTGTGTGTGTGTGTGTGTGTGTGTGTGTGTGTGTGTGTGTGTGTGTGTGTGTGTGTGTGTGTGTGTGTGTGCGCGCGCGCGCGAATCCCAGTTCTGATTTGGTCTCCGCCAGTATCTGGTGCTGGTGTTAGACAGCACCATGGCTGTGTTGCCTTCCATTTCGTCATTGTTTCATGCCCCCGTGCCCCCCTTCCGTCTGTTTGTGCCCGAACAGATCATCGCCGATAGTGCACGCCATTGTTTGCTCTCGCTCATCAAAAATGTGCGCCACAGCAAAGTCCTGGCCAGGTCAGTCTAGAGTATCACAGTGTCCTCTGCAAACCTCTTTGGCGACCACCTCTGGTTTGACTCACTCCATCGATTCCTTGCTACCGGGGTGGCAGGGTACTCGAGACGCATACAAGCAAGGCTGTCTTGCAACGCCGTTGCGTAGCCGACGCCGTAGCTTTGGTCTTTGAGGAGTGGGATGATGCTCAGCTGCAGCGCAGTCTCAATAATCTGAAAACCTATTTTCGTCACGCGCTGGCGGATGCTGATGCTGAAGTCCGCAAGCGTGCCCGTCAAGCTTTCTGGGCCTGGGCCGAGCGCCAAGGGTCTGAAGCCAATGCCTTCCGCAATACCTTGGACGCAACGACCCAGAAACGCCTGGACTCTGATCGAAACCGCGGCGGCGAGAGCTCTTCTCGACGACCTTCGGCTACAGCAGTCCCCTCTGCTCGCGGCAGTGTGGCCCTCCCTCGCCGGCGTACCGAAACCGAGCGCCGCTCCATCGCCAAGACCAGCTCAAGCGACAATGTGTTTAACAAAAAGGCCACTGCTCGTCGCGTACGCTTGGCCGAAGCCGCTTCCATATTCCGTCTCAGATGCTTGCTTGGTCGCAGTTTGAGCAAACACCTCACAGTATCTCTGGGCGAATCGTTTGTTGGGCTGGCTTACATAGGCGACCATCGCTTCTGCTCGAAGTGTTGCTCCTCGCTCCGAGCCCAACTCTCCCTCTGCGCAACGCCGGCCCACCGCTACCCCCGGCGTTCCAGGTTTGATGCTCCTCCGATTTTCGAGCGCTTGCGCTGATGCTTGCGTGGTTGGTGTCGCTCTGTGACCGTTTGAGTCCTCATCACAGCCTTGTGAAAAATGCAGTTGCGCGGGGCACATATGGAGCTCGCATGGAGGCATCGGAACGACCCAGCTTCTCGCCAGCTCGCCGTGTTCCAACCAAAACGCCCAGCAAAACCCCTCAACGCCGCTCAACATTAGACAACGAGCGCACACCCACTGCACAACGCGGACGCTCACACCTGCCCGTGAGCACGCCGGTTTCGAGCACCCATCGTCTTGCTCGGGCGGCCACCATCTCAACTGAGTTTGACTCGCCTGGGGGCTCTTCCATGACGGGTCTGCTCAAGGACATCGCCACGGGTCTCAAAAATGCCGACTGGCAAGAGCGCGACCAGGCGTTGTCGCAGCTTCGCACCCTCTTGTGTGACAGCGAGCTGGAACCCGTTGCCAAGGACTTTCAGCGCATTTGCTCCCTACTTGCCAAGCAGGTTTGTGCTGCAGATCAAGCCGCCGTGCTTCCCGCAAAATGAGCCCTTGAGCGTTACCCTAACCGTCACCTCCTCGGCACCTCTGAACCTTGATTGTCTGTGCTTCAGCTTCAAGAGGGCCACCAAAAGCTGTATCTGCGAAGTCTTGGCATATGCTCCGAATTTATCAACATTTATGCTGTGCGCACCGCTGTCTGATACGGCCGTGTGGTCCACTTGGATGGATGCCTTCCCCTCGCCTCGCGCTGACGATGCATGTGACCCTTGGCTCTGCTGAATTGCGATGCAGGAGGACATTCCAGTTGGGTGGATGCGCGACGTGGTGCCAGGTCTCCTGCTCAAACTGGGCACGAGCGCTCCCGTCACAGTGCAGCTCGAGGTTTGATGTTGCTTCCCGTCCGTCAAACATCAGAATCCGCTGCAGCGCTGGAGGCCAGCCCCTCCTGCCAAATCCTATAGACTTGTCCGCCGCTCACCCAGCCCGTTACATGGTACAGGTACAAAAGCTTTTGGATCAGGTGGCCATGACATTTCCGGCAGATGTGCAGTTGTTTCACGTATTACGCACCCTACTTGACCCTTTGGCCAACCATAATCACAAGGTGTGAGCCTCCCTCCTGGGTCATTGGCGCGCATGAGATTGCCGTTTGACCACACGCGCACTTCCAAGCACATCCCCCCCTGCCCGTCAGTCTCATGCTTTGTGATCTTCTTGGCGACCAACCTGATCCAGGCCAAGAACGCCATGATGGAATTTTCTGCAGTATTGCTGGAGCGTATGAGTGCCGCCGACTTGGCCAGCGTACATGATCAGTCGTCTTCATCCTATCGTGATGCCGTGCGCCTCATGATTCAGCTCGCAGAAGGTTTGTGGCTGCACCGACGTGAAACTCCAGCAGCATGCTCGCTCTTTGCGTTCTGCCAGACCACTCGCGCGCGCCGGTGCCGTTCTCATGTGGCCGACCCAACGTGTATATAGAGCCCAAATCAGCAGAGCTGCGCCGGACAACCTCGGCCAACCTTTTGAGCATGTGCAAGATCAACCCTCCGCTCATGCGGCGGGCCATGGCAGCGCTCAAACCCGAAGAAGCGGAGCCGCTGGCGGTTCTTCTCGAAGCAAACATACCAGGATGGGAAGAATCGGAGGCTCCTCTTGTCAGCGCTTCTCGACCAGAATCTGCTGGAAAGGCACCCGCCTCGCCAGATATGCGACGGGTTCTTGCCACATCTGGGCTTCCCGTGGCATCGCCCTCGACAGCGCGATCGGGTCTCTCATCTCCCAGCCACAGTGGCTTGCCCGTGGCGACACACAGGCCTCCAAATGGAGCTGAGCGCCATTATAACCCACACACATACCAGGCTGAGCGTAGTCAATCAGGAAGCCAATCGGGTAGCGAACCTGAACTGGCCACACGTTTGGGTACCACCGCACTTGCCAAGGAGGTATGTTTGGTATTCTTTCGCAACATTCAACCTCCGGTCCAGGTGCTTGGGATCTCATGCATTGTCGCCTGCTCTTAGCAACAACGAGCAGCAGTTCAGGAGGCCCGGGAACGGCGATCCCGAGTGGCTTCTGATAGTTCGGTGAGGCCTTCCCTTCCTCTGTTCTTCTATCTGTTGTGGCAATGGGGTATACGAAACACATGGGTCTTTTTTTTTCCCAAAGCGGCATGTCAGCGACGGGCCTCACGTCAAATTTTGAATTTTCACATTGCGACCATCATTTCCAGGCCCCAGAGGACTTGAATAACCACAACAATCACCACGGCAATGGCTTGTCGCGGACGGGCTCTACGCTGAGCGTGGACGCACCCGCCACATCGCCCCCAGTACCACAATCACCCCACCTGGTCGTTGCAGGGCGTCAAGTTGCCATTGGCGATGCCATTGACACCTTGGATGGTCGGACAGACTCGGTACGTGATCCGCCCAATGGATTGGCTGCCACGTCTCGAGAAAATATTAGATTACGCGAGCAAGCCTGGCTTGCACGAGGCTCTATGTCTTGCCCCATCCTCACACTCATTCTTTGCACATCAACACACAGTATTCCTTGCAAATGCTAGCAGCCATGCACAAACTGGTGAAGGAGGATCCTGCACGGGTCACGGGTCACATGGATCGTCTGATTAGCTCCATTTTGGCGCTCGTGGCGGATCAAGAGTTGGCCGTGCGCAAGCAAAGCCTGCGTATTCTGAGTCATTTGATCCAGCAGCAAGCCGCCTATTTTGACGGCGAGTACGAGAACGTCATCACCACGCTGTTGGACATTCAAAAGGTTCGGCCATCATGCCATGCGTCCTTATTGGGGAGGGCCGAATGGCGACGTGTCCTAAAAGCTATGTGGGGGTTGGACCGTGCATGTTAGAATGACACGCACGCAGAGATTCTGCACAAGTGCATGGAGATACTTACGCTGATTGGCAAACAAGCGGAGCCTGTGCGCACGATTCGGCTCTTGCTGCCCTACGTCAAAGCAGCGCCGACTAGCAAGGAGGAGCAGCAAGGTTGCACCGCTGCCCTCTTTATGCTGGACAAGGTATGCAAGCTTCTCTGTAGCGTGCTTTCCTCATCGAGGGCGCGTGTAGAGCCAGGGACCCACAAAGTGCATTGACATGCGGACGGTGTGCTTGCAGAATTTGGTTCCACGCCTGACGGCTGAGCAGGCGCTCTCCAACTTGAGCTGGATCATGCCCGCGATTCTGGAGGTGGGTCTGATAGCTGCGCGGGGTTTGAAACGACAACGGCTCATGATGAAACGATTGTGCGCGCAGTGCTTTGTTAGCTCGATTGCGGAGGTACGCAAGAGTGGCGTCTTCATCTCCGTATCCTTGCATTTGCTCCTGGGTCGCGAGGCCCTTGAGCCCTACATCAAGTGAGTACCATCCGTCTGAAGTCCCGGCGCATTTCTTTGTCTTTCTATTGGCATGCATCATTGCGTGACTTTTGAAGAATCAAGGCGCCAGTTTGCTCTGCCTCACCCCTGCGGTTTGGGTGCCTTTAACCTCCAGTCAACTGAATCGTGGTCATCAAAAACTTTTGGACCTGTACGTCCAGCGTAAGGAGACGAGGACAGAGCAGAAAATGGCCGTGCTGAGCCATGTACAATCAACCGATGTCTGAAGTGGCCCCAAGGTGTTGACTTCCAACAACACTGCGCGCTGGCCCTGTGCTCTCATTTGCCTTTTCTTCTTTCTGTGTCTTCAATACTGTATCTGATGCTTTCTTTATTGCCTTTTCCCTCCTGTGTTGAGTCATTTCAATCTCAGTCAAAGCTTGGCAGCAGCCAGGTGTTCTTCGCCGCAGGCGTCGGCAGCCCATAATTCATAGACAAATTTTGTATGATACGCGGAACAGTTAATTTTTATTATTTTTTTTTTTTTTTGCGGCCAATCGGCAAACAACACTGGAAAGCCGACTTGGTTGTGGTCACTGACGCGTTGGTTTGGACGCGGGCTTAGAGCTTCGAAACGACGGCCACACACTCAATCTCCACTGACACATCCTTGGGCAGGCGGGAGACTTGGACCGCAGCACGGGCAGGGCGGGCATCACCAAATTTCTACCGAAGCGAGCCGTTACGTGAGGAGAGCATGATACCCGATTGGGGGATGCAGAGCAAAGTCAAATGAGCACAAAGGAGAAGGCGTGTTTGAAGCACACAACCACGGCATACCTCGGCGTACACCTCGTTGACGGCAGCAAAGTCGTTCATGTCCTTGAGAAAGACGGTGGTCTTGACCACGTGATTCATGTCCGAGCCACCGGCTTCAAGCACGGCGCGCAGGTTGTCCAAGACCAATGCCTGTCGTAACGCAAAAGGGGCGGCGGCAGTTTCTCAGGGATGGCGCGAAAAAAAGGGGGCAGTAGGGGGCGAAAAAGGGTGAGCAGAGGCGAGCAAGGGCGGCACGTACGGCTTGCTCCTTCACAGGACCGAGCTGAAGTTCCTGAGTGGCTGGGTTCACGGGAATCTGGCCCGAGACGAAGAGCATGCCGTTGACGGCCATGGCCTGCGAGTAGGGACCGATGGCGGCCGGGGCCTTGTCTGTGTTGATGGGGGTCAGAGTTGCCATTTTGACCTTGCTTTGAATCTATCGGACATGACAGGCACGGCAACCGAGGGTGAGTCCAGAAGCATGGCTAGGCGTCGCCAGGACAGCATCGGCAGCCAAGTCGTGTTTGAAAGAGAGAGAGAGAGAGGAAGAGAGGGACGTGTGGATGTATTTTCCAGAAAGGCCCGATCAAGACGGCGAGGCAGGGGGTGCCGACAGAGGGAGATAGCAAGCACGAGAGCAAGCACGAGAGCAGGAGCGAGAGCAGGAGCGAGAGCGAGACCAAGAATAAGAGAGATGGACGGAGAAGTGAAAATGCGGGTCATGGAAGAGGTGTGACCACGCCGTCCACACACACACACACACCACCTGCTGGCGGCTCTCCTGTCAAAACCTCTCTCGATGGTGGGTGTGAGATCGGGGATGCGATTCACATACAATGGGCTGCTGCCAGGCCCTGCTACACGAGAGCACGCCCAAGAATGGGCGCCGGACCCCCGCCCCCACGGCCGCAGCGACGCAGCGTCCAGCCCCCGCCGCCAGCCCCGCACCACTGATCATCCGAATCATGACCAAGAAATTTTTTTTTTTTGTTGTTTTTGGGTCGTCGTGTGATGTGTGATGACTCTCTCGCTTTGAACGACGGGCTCGGGCTCTCTCTCTCTCTGTGACTCTGTGTCTCTGTCTCTGTGTCTCTGTCTCTGAGTCTCTGTAACTCTGTGTCTCTGACTGACTGTTTCTCACTCTCTCTTTGACTCTCTCTGTCTCAAAGACAGTGTCTCTCTGTCTTTGACTCTGTACCTGTCTCTCTGTTTTCGTCTCTCTGACTCTCTGACTCTCTGTAACTGTGCCTCTTCAACTCTGTCTCTCTGTCTTTGTGGAATGGTGTGGGTAATGGATTGCGACATGACCTTTGTTTGCGCAACAACTTCAACATCAGGTGAATGTAATTTTGAAGAGGAGAGTTAAAGTTGTGCATTGTCAGCACGGCCAAGGTTAGTTCTTGACCCAAACTGCGGACATGAAGCCGAAGTCGGCGGATCAGTCACAAATGGCAGCGCCGTGGGCGGCCACGGCGCCGTGCGTGCAGGGCCACCCAGGCGAAAAAGGGCCAGAGTAGACAAAATGCGTGTGACTTTTGGATTTGCATGATCAACACATCGCTGTCCCTTCTGTTGCTTGCAGACATTGTACGCGCACCATGGGTGTCTGGTTGGCTTCTGTCGTGTTGGCGATTCACCAGTTTGCGGTGCGGCGAGAGCCAACAAGATCAAAGCATTTGCATCCAAACTGCTTCGCTGACTAGTCGCCACGCATGCACATTAAAATCAGCCTAGCCTTTTACTCCTCCCGTCCCTCTCTTGCCTCGGCCCTCTGGGCACAAGAACCTGTCGACGTGGCAAACGACCTATCATATGTACACAAAGCCCTCGACTCTGTCGGGCATTTTTCTGCTCAACCTGCTTCAACCCAAAAAGAGGCGCCGACGACAAACGCTCTGCCATCTGCCCCACAGAGTCCATTTTTTCTGAGACGTATTTAGAGAAAAACACGACCGTGCATCATGGCCTACGGTGAGTGTCAGCCGATGTCGCCCTGAAACAACTTCAGCTCCACTTCATCAAGGATTGCATACTCATTGGCTTGGATTGACAGACGCCCTTGTTCGGGTCATCATGGTGGGTGACTCAACTGTCGGCAAATCTAGCATGGCGGCTCGCTATAGCCGCAACGAGTTTTACGAGCAAGCCATCTCGACCAGTACGCGATAACCTTCCGCCCTTCTGCGAGGCTATCATTCGCTGTCCTTTGATATCCCAGCTCAATGGTTCATTGGTGTGCTTCATTTACTCCTCGCTGCAAGCACAGTTGGCGTGGACTTTGTATTGAAGACCATGCAAGTCGACTCCAAGACTATCAAGATGCAAGTGTGGGACACGGCTGGTCAAGGTATGCTCAAGAGCCGTCCGAGAATGCCAATGTGCATCCACATGGAAGAGCACCAAAGGCTGATCGCCCTCCTCGTCGAGTTGTCCATCGGCCGGTGCCAAGGCAGGTACATTTGATAATTTTTGGTGCTTCCTCTGTCCTTTTGGCATTGCTAGAGCGCTTTCGATCCATTACGCACTCGTATTATCGCGGCGCCGACGCTGTTTTGGTGGTGTATGACATCACCAATGCCGACTCCGTGGATTCATTAAGCGGGTGCGTTTTGAAGCAGCATGGGTGGACAAAAGAATCTTTGACCAGCCTGGCTAGTTCAACCTTGCCCCAGTTGGCTCAAAACACTCATTCACGGCCTGTCTATGATAGCTGGGTCGAGCGAGCCCGGGCCCATGCCAAAGTCGACGTCGCAATCTTTATCATTGGCAACAAGTTTGATCTCTATGATCCTGCCGATCCGCAGCAAGTGACCAACGTCTCGCAGGTTTGAAAACTTGTCTTGATGTACCACCAGTTCATTCCTCTGCGGTTGTTGACTAGCCCATGGCTTGTATTTGGGCTTTATAGGCGCAACATCTGGCGAGGAAATTGGGGCTTCATCACTTTGTGGCCAGCGCCAAGTCAGACATCAATGTTCAAGACATTTTCCTTCAGGCGGCGCGAGATATCATGCGAGTGCGTGAGGAGGCGCGTCAACCTACACCCCTTGTCAATGTGGCCAGCAGCCAGCCCGCGTCGTCCTCTTGGTGCACTCTGCTGTAAAGCCGCCTGTCATGTGATGATGAAAGGCTTCATGTAGTCAAAAGTGTGCGTATATGTGTGTGCGTACACACATGTGTGTGTGTGTGTGTGTGTGTGTGTGTGTGTGTGTGTGTGCGTGTGCGTGCAAGCGTCTGGGTGGGTATGCAGGGTTGGTTGCACGGTCACAAAGGCGCGTCATCGCTTGGTTGGTGCAAATCGGATCAATTCTGTTAGAACAACCTAGCTTCTTATGCATGAGGGGTGCGCTCAGCGCACCGACTCTCAAGGACCAATCTCAATCGGGTCGCCACTTGTACCGGCGAGACGCTTTGGTCGTTTCATCCCACCCTGCGGGCGTTCACCGCTCAGCCAATTTTTCAAAAAGCCCCCACCCACACGGCGTGTAACGTTGGAACAAGTGCTTGGCGCTTTGGCTGGAGTGTGCTTCGCTCGAACGGGCGAGCTGGCATTTGGGGCGTTTTCACAACGCAAGCTTGACCCTGACCCAGGCTTGGCCCGCTCATGCGGTGTTGTACATGCAGCAGAGGCACGGGCCAGGCTACTTGCTGCTTCTGAGGCAGCTGGGTTTGGGTCAGATGCAAGCCAATCTGGTGTCTTCGAATCCGGGCTAGCTGCGCTCGAAGACGACAGCGATGCTTGTGCTTGCTCCAGTTCGGCCTGTGAAACGGTAACATCCAGTCCGAATCCCTTTGGGTGGTGCACTGTTGATGGTTCAGCCGTGCTTGATTCTGGCGCTGCTGCGCTTTTGGCTGCAGGCTGTGATCGAAAGAAAGACAAAACGTCCACCTTGGCCTTGGGACTTGTTCTAGCAGAGTGGCCGGAAGGACACCGACAATGAGACCACACTGCTTAGCAAAAATATAACTTCTATTCCTCAAACCGTATCTGCTGTCTCACTTTGCCACGAAGGCAGCAGCCCCACGACCGAGGTGGGGTTGCTTGTGGTGTCGGCTGTTCGGTCGATGGTGTCGTTGTACTCCATGTCGTTGTACTCCATGTCGTTGACGCTTTTCCTGCCATGGACACATGCCACGCGGCCAACCGCACATACATACAGTCAGAAGAGCGTTTTCAAGGTCCATGGGTCAGTGTTCAAGTCCCACGATCGCGTGGGTTGCCACATGGCGCAGCATCACCTTCTCCTCATCGGCTCTCGCCTGTGCCTGGGCCATGCCATCAATCTGTGTCGCCACCTGTGCAGAGAGCCCCTCTTCTATGTATCTCTTTCCACTCGCTGGGTTACAAAGGCCCGTGGCTCGCTCAACACAGTTTGACACCTCAATCTCGCCTAGGTATGGCTAAGAAAGAACCATGCAAGCAGCATCGGAACAAAGAGTCAAGCCCATTCAGATTGTGAACGGCCGTACTCGCGATAAAAGTCGGTGGAGCGTGGGTCTAAAGCCAAAGCCAGACCGTTCAGCAAGACCACCAACCAGTCGCTCAGCGTTGGTGCCAAGGGGTGTGAGATGCACGCGACGTTTTTGACGCGGGTCGTAGACTACTTGGTGCAAAAACGTCTTGTCCGCCTGTTCAAATGCCTCACTAAAGCTGACGGGCAGAACATCCACATTGAAATTCGACATCAGTCAAGGCCCACGAAAGCGGGCTAGATAATCGCCAAATTTGCCACATTATCCGCCACCGCCATCGCTCGCCTTTGCTATCCTGCACACCAACATACCCGTCATGAAGGGCGTGCCGGCGGCCCAGAAGCGCTTGGGTTTCCTTGAGATTGCCCTGGCAGCGATTGATGTAATCGAGGGCTACCTTGAGGCTAACGCCACGTGGATGCTTGTCTAGTGAATTCACCCACACGGCATGGTAAAGACACGGTAGAAAGCTGGAATTCTCAACTTTACGTGTCTGCGAGCCATGCACAATCTCGTACCCGAGTAGGCGGGTAAGTAGTCACAACCTGCCACAATGCACATGAAGCGAAATGCTTCGGGCGTCATCAACTGTCCAATTCAAGAGTCCAGATCAGCATTCTCGAAACCGAAAATGAAGCACGGGACAGACGCATGCCGTCGAACTTGGTCGGTACCTTCATGTTGTAAAGTCTCTTCTTGACCTGCACCTTGACTCGCTCTATTCGCACCGCGGCGATGTCTCGCCTTCAATCAGCAACAAGACAAAAAGCCAGCTCGCTTCGCTGAAAGTATGTCCGGTAGGAGACAAGGCAAAGAAACTCAAAAAGGAAGAACTCACCCAAGTTGTCCAGCTGAATGCGAATGCCAAAACTATCACAAGAATAAAAAGGCGATGGGGATGAGGACAAAGTACAAGGCAAGATCGGAATGGCTCATGAGTGTGTCACAAAGAGTCAAACTGACCCGCTGCTATCCAGCTTGAAAAAAACGTCGCGAACGTTGAAAACCAACAAGTCTGAATCTTCGGAAATGACAGCCTCGACCAGGCCTGACAAGCATGGCCGAGGGCGAGAATGACAGCGATTTGAGAGACGGGCGTTTCACATAGCTGGCGCATGTGCCTCTTGTGACGGGTCGAAAACATGCAGCAGCGCGCGATTGAAAGAAAAGAAAAAAAAATTAAAAAAAATAGAGGGCGCGAAAGGGAAAGTTTGATGCATGTACCTTGGTGATACATGTAAGCCATCTGCGCATCGGCTTCATAGGGCGCGATAATGTACTCTATGGACAAGCGCGTGTACCAAGTGATGCAATTCGCCTCTCCCTCAGTTTGTACCTGTCGTGTATCATGCGTGGCAAAGGGCTCACCGATTTGATAGCGGCGACATGCTGCAGCACAGCGGAGCCGCATATCCATGGTGACGTCGAGACTTGACTTGAAGGCTTGCGCAGCCTCGGTTGTGTTTCCTTGATACATGTGCATTTACCCAAATGAACAGGGTTGTGCCAATCGGCAGCAATGGCACTTCCGAGCGTCGATGCCTTGACGAGCTAACCGTTCTTCAAGTGGGCGTGTCCTTCTTCGGCGGTCGCAGACTTTTGCCGCCGCCGATGCTCCGACTCGAGGCTCTAAGCTCCGTCAAGTTTCAAGCAAGCGGCATGAAATGACAGGCCCGAGGGCAAAAAATCCTTGTGTGCTTAAGGTTTATTTGATGCAGCATCAAGCAGCGGGGCTGGTGGCGTGGTGCCCGTGTACATACCTTGCTGGGCAAGGAGGCACCGTCAAAGACGAGAACGGGTGTTATGCCAAAGGATTTCAGCATAAACACACGACTCATCACAAGGCGAATATAGGCATCCGTATCATTTGGATTGCTCTGTAGCTCCAAGGCGCAGCCATACGCGCCTGGCCAAATCAAAAACGTCCTCAAACACACGTGAGGGTGGGCTTGCTGCTCATTATAGTAGGCTAGTCTTGCCGGGGTCATCTATCATGCACGCACCTTTATACAACCAAGCGGCCACATCAATGGCGACACGCTTCCCGGCATACTCGCGAACATGGCTGCGCTCTTGGATATCTGGTCTCAACCCAAGAGTATGGGCGTAACAGGATGACAACAGTATGAGCATTTCCCAGTGTTGACCCGGCCTGCCCGTGCCTGTGCGCTGCTGTGCGCTGCGCTGGCCGAAACATACCGCCAAGGAGCGACAAAAGGCCACCAATGCCCATCCCGGTCCGTTGTTGTGACCGTTACAAAAAATCGAAAATAAAAAAAAAGAGAGAAACTCAAACACAAAAGCCCACACTCCTTCTGCTGTCTTGTTCTGTTTCCTTTTTCTTCCTTGAATCGTTTTTTTCTGACATGAGATCAGATCTGACAAGTGTTTTTTTTCTTTTGTAGCTCGGTGCTGGTGGCGTCGAACAGATGGGCTGAGCATAGGAAGGCAATCAAACTGGCAAGTTGATGGATTCAGAGGACCCGAGAGCTTTCGAGATGGCATGAAGACAATCAATTGCTTCCTACAGCCCGCAGCGAACCTCGCTTGACACTTTTCACAGTCCCTGACTCGTTATCACGTATGAAAATTGGCGCGTCTAACCAGGAACCTGGAGGGAAAGAAGCTCTGCACGTGAGGATGGTAAAAACAACGGTAGTGCACACCAAGGGCCTTGGCTTTTGGGCGAGCGGCTCGGGCCAAGCATCGCCGATTGTCAAGGTCACTCAAGTGCTCGTGCATTTGGCTCGCAAGGTGATTACGAGAGTACAAAGTTCGGATGCAACACCACGTGTTGGTTCAGCTCATCAACATTATCTGGATCTGGACAGAGAAGCACAGAGTCCACTTCAATCATGCGCTTGATGATAAGGAGCAGCTGTTCCCGCTCCTCGTCAATGGCATCAACACTGTCAAAGTCGGCTTCGTGATCCTTTAGATATGCCTGGACCACGTCGCGCACAGTTGTCCCTGCAAAGTCCGAGTCAGGATCGGCTGTACTCCCCGCACGGTTGACAATTGCATATTCGATATGGGAATGAGCGTGTTTTGGAGGTCATGAGCGTGGGCATCCACAATCAAGAAGCACCGGGACCGGTGTGCGGGCGCAGCACTCAGAGTGCAGCTGAAGCAGCAATGGAGACTTGCAAACAAACCTTGTTGCTCCCGACGTGCGACAAAGTGAACGATTTGCTCGGCACGACGCATGTACGCATCGTAGGAGATGGTGCGAGCCGATCGTTGCTGCGAAATGTCGCCCAAAAGCGGCAAGTGAGAGCCTCGCCCATCTGAATGCTGCATCTACGGAATTTGTTCAGTCTTACCCGCTCTGGGGCCTCGGCAGCTTGGTCAACATCCATGGCGCTGGTGTTCTGGCTTGTTGGCACATCGGCTGCACTCTCCTCTGCATAATCGTCATCCAGCCTAATGCAAAGTCAAGGTGAGAAAAAAATCACAATCTTAAGCACCTTAGCATGGGCCTGGTCGGTCTGAACGCACAGCAGATCTTCAGTCTCAACATGAATAATAGACTTGCGCAGCAAGCGAACCGCTTCATACACGTGGGCGGCTTTGATCTGAGCAGTAGCAACGCGTTTGAGAGGAAAATCTTTCGGGACAGGTGCCGATTTGGTGCACATGAGGAGGCGCAACTCACCTCTTCGTCGCATTGCAGACGTGCACGTCCTTCGGCAAGACGGATCAAGCTCTCAAGCTGGCGCACAGTAATGCGATAGCTCGACTGGTTGATGCCTACTCGGTTTGCGGTGGCAGGCGGCAGATGCATAAGAAAGGGCATGGAATAACGGCAGATGCATAAGAAAGGGCATGGAATAACAATGGAGAACAAACAGAGGCATGGCCGGTACGCCAAAGCCTATGGCACGCCTAAGCCTGCTCGAGCGTACGCTCTGACCAGGTGCCCTTGGAGGTACCCTGTTGGTCACAAGCACACACTATTGCGCTATACGACATACCTGTGGCATCGTTTTGCCGAAGTTTGCGATATTCTTTGACCAACACTTTCTGAGCTTCTCGCGTCATACGCGGATTGATGGCACGCGCAAATCGAATGTAGCGTTGCAACTATAGGGTCAACCAAGCTTGTCGTCAGGACATGCATGCACTCGGGACAAGGCAAACATGAAACACAAAGCCAAACGAAAAACAACAACATCAACACCAACAAGATACTTGTGCGTGCACGTGTCTGCGGCCAACAACGCACCTCGTCAGTGGTGTATTCCGTCTCCACAGCCTCATCCTGAAGCTGGTGCAGCTTGGTGATGTGGCGGGCAATGTTGTAGTCTGTGACTTCGTTGCACTCGTCCACAATCACAAAGAACAGATCAAAGCGAGACATGATAGGACTGGTCAATGCAACGTTGCTCTACAGTTCAGGGTGAGCAGGCGCATGAGGTCAAAGCGCGGTTGCACAGAGGGGCCAAACGCATAGCGGGCAAGTGCAATTGCTTTTGCGCAACGCGGATGGCAGGGCAGTGGTTGAGGCCAAATGGTTGCAGTCAACGTACACGCAAAGGCTTGCCCTTGTCGTAGCGACCCCCAATGGGGTTGGCGGCCGCCAAGATGGAGGTGCGGGCGTTGAGCGTTGCCTGCGCCAACATGGACATGAGTGGAATCACCTTTGCAGATAGAGCTCACGAACGGGGGAAAGAGTAGAGAGCAAAACATAAAGAGAGACCCAACAGAGAAAACAACAACCAAAAGGCTGGAGAAAGAAGCAAACCTGAATGCCAGCCTTGGTGATGGAGATGGTTTGCTGTTCCATGGCTTCATGAATGGCCACTTGGTCACGTTGGTCCATTTTGTCAAACTCGTCAATGCAGCAAATACCCTATATTCAAAAGCCACCAGGTTGAGCATGTTGCGCGATGGCAGCAACATGGCTGCACAGAGAGCAGTTGATTGCATGCAGTAGAAGGCGCGTGCTCACAAGAACACGAAAACCAAGACGAGTTACAAGGCCAAGCAAACAGAATAACAAACAGATAAGCTAAAAACTAACATTGTCAGCCAGCATGAGGGCGCCGGCCTCAATGAAAAACTCGTTGCTGTCATCGTCCCGAACCACGGCGGCTGTCAGACCGGCAGCCGTCGAGGCCTTGCCTGACGTGTAGACAGCACGGGGCACAAAGTCCACCACATATCTGCACATGCAGTTCGCGGATGCAAGCAAGTGGGTGTGAACCACAGCGAGCGTAACTGTTTCCAAGACACAGTGAGCAGTGGGGACAAAACAGACTTGAGAAACTGGCTCTTGGCCGTGGATGGATCGCCGACAATGCAGACATTGATGTCACCGCGAAGCCTGGATCGATGCATGACCAAGCAGATGACGAGTGAGCGCGACTCTTCTTTGTGGCGCAACACAAAACACTCAAGATACGTACGAGATCCCTTCAGGAGTAGTCTTGTGTACACCACCAAAGAGCATAAGCAAAACGCCGCGCTTGACCTCGTCGTGACCTGGACATGCCACCAAGCCACCAAACATTGAGCACAGAATGCGAATGCTACGTTTGTCGTGGTTCAGAGGCAGTGGCTCACCAAAGACCGAAGGACAGATGGAGTCAACCATTTTGCGGTAGAGATCAGGGTCCTCTTTCATTTGCAGGACTTTTTGACGTTCCTCCTCCGTAAACTCGGCAACAATGGACTGGATGGTTGCATGCTCGTCGCGAATGTTGACCACACCGGTCTGCATATTTGCACCGGAAATGAGTAAGCCCCCTCCATTTGCAGTCATGCGGCAAGCTGATCTTCAGGTGCCTGCCAACAACAACGCAATCGTGTGCGAGCGCTTACCTCGGCACCTTCTTGTTGAACGGTTGTTGCCAAAAAGGCCATGCGGTATGTCAGGTCGCGAACGCCAAGTGCCTGCACAGGAGTTTCATAAGAGTGCGCAAAATGACGAGCACCTACGTTGCAAGGCCGGACCCGGGCAGGCGCGTGTACTTACTTTTAATCCAGTGATACCCTCCTCGCTATATCCTTCGCCCGAGCGACCACCACCGCGTACAACAGCTGCTTTGTTGCCTGGGAAAGTTTGCCAAGACGAGTGTGAGATTTGAGCACCAATGAGCGGAATCAACACCCGAACCCGAGAACCAACCGGATAATTGGGCAATGTCGGGAAGGACGATCAGGGTACCAATGAAAATGATCTGCATTCGGAGCAAGGGTGCATGGGATGAGAAACCGAAAGATTGGTGGGTGTGCACAGCGATGGTTCACGGGCAGGCTTTCGGATCGGCACAAACCTTGTCGCCAGCCTTGGCCTGCTCTACCGCGTTGTGGCGCAGAATCACGTCGACACTGCGAATCAGCAGACGATCCAATGCAACAAGCCGAGGTTGAGGCACGCGAGAGTCGGCTCACAAAGAGTGCCAGAACAGACAAGGACGGTGCCTTTTCATGCCACGTGACCCAAAGGGGGCTAACCTGCGGGGCATGCTGCCCGAAGGAATCTCGTCCGACGATTCTTGAATGCGCACTTTTTGGAAATCAACAAACTGCAAAGATCACACCCCAAAAGAAACACCCCAAACAAACCCCCAACAACAAAAGCAGGGAAAAAAAAAACACGAAGTGTCAGGTGCATCGGGCGCCACCAGGGCCGGTGGGACAATCGGAGGGCCAAGCAACATGGGGAAAGGGGTTCATGCATGGGTTGTGACTTCGTACGTGTGATTGATCAAGCTCGAGCTTGAACCGTTGGCGGTTTTCACAACCGTTGGCGGTGCAGCGGGTGGGCTGAAATACAACACGAAGGTCCATTAGGAACGGTTGGAGGTAGAGGAGGCTGATGGCACGGATCAAAGAAGCGTGTCTTTGGCTCATCGCCCGCAATCGGTCGCACCTCAGTGTATTGGAACTGCTGCTCAATATTGCGCATAATCTCGCCACAGTCCAAGCACGTGAAGGTACCACGCACCAGCTCGGGGTGTACAGCAGAGGTACGGACGACCGTGCCTGCCAGTGTGCAGAGGGGAATACCAAACGCGTTAAACAGCGCAAAAAGAATTCACAGCCCCACAAAAGCAAGCGTGGTGCAGATTGCTTTGTGACTCGGCCCACACCTTTGATGGCAACCAGGTGACCGATCAGCTGTGTCTTGAGATCTCGGATTCTGTGAGTTGGACAAGATCGTGCGGTGGGCAACAATGTCAATGATTGTAAACTGGTCAAGGCAAACGGATCTGATGACCATGATTGTTGGTGGTACAATCAATCGCTTCAGGATCGTACGAATTGATGGAGGGAAGGTGGAAAAAGGCGGGGTAGTAAGGTCGCAAGTTGCCCTGCTCATCCGCCTCTCGAGCCGGGAACAGACTGACAACGAACTGGCGAGTGGCCTCTTGCATGAATGGCATGAAGCTGCGTAAATGAACAAGTGAAGGCAATCGGCCACACGGGTTAGCACAAAGCTCGAGTGAAATGCAAGATCAACAATAATAGAGCAGCAGCAGCAACAGCAGCAGCAACAGCAACAGCAAAGGAGCGCCATCCGGACCGATAGTAGTCCGTTAGGATCTGCATGCTCAGCTGCTCCGAGTACTGTTGGAGATGTCCAAAGTTGATGTAAATGGTGTTGGTTTCGACCTCCTCGAGTGTCATTTGTTGTGCAGCTAGCGCATAATGTGGCTCGTCCTTGCCCTCGACGCGGAAGCTGCACAAGGACAGGATGCAAGCATGAGTCTGGGGCTCGAGGGACATTCCGCTGATGCCGACAGGTTTATACTAGAAGAGAGCCTCGGCAAGAGGGGGGTCTGAAGGCTGTCCACATACCGCTGCAAAAAGTCCAAAAAGTCGTTTTGGACTTCCAAGCCGAGCTGATCGGGCTCAGCTGCCACGCGCTGGTTGCGCAAACCGGAGACATCCATGATGATCAAAACGACCCAGGCCTGCCTTTGTACACTTCGTGCCTCAGCTCAGATCATGCACAGCCCTATGCTGGACTGAAAGCACCGGCGAGAAGAACAGAGCTGTGCCAGCAAAGCTGCAGCCTGTCAACGAATGGGTAAAAAAAGATAGGATGCTCAGCTCAAGGCCACCGCACTTGAAACCAATTCGTGCATGCAGAGAGCAAGAAAAAAAAAAAACAAGACCACACACAGCCCTCAGCGCGTTTTTCTGCGCACATTGCCTCTCTCTCTCTCTTTCGCGCTTCAGTCTCCCTCAGTCTCTCTCAGTCTCTTTCAGTCTCTTCCTCTTGTGATTTTGGCGCTGGATCGGGATCAACGGCTGCTTTTTGACGATTTGTATTGTTCTCAAATGGTTTATGCCGTGGAAGTGATAGCCGAAATCGTATCAAGGCAGATGTCAGATGTTTTCTGGATTAGAACTTTGGACAAAACGCATCTTTTCTGCACTCACTCACGCAAGAGGCGCTTAATGTTTTTGAGGAGGTTGCGAGAGGGAACGTGGTCCTCGTAAAGAGTCAGCGCTTGCTCCGACTGGATTGATGAGGGGTAGTAGGGCAGCCAGGCAAAGCGTGAGAGAGAGAGAGAGAGAGAGAGAGAGGATGGGGCGTTGGCCTTGCATCAACAAAAGTACGACATTCGAACCTCTTTCATGGCACTGGCCAGGTCTCCGTGGGTGAAGGCAATCAGACCCTGGTTATAGTGAGGCTCATGTACATACTGCGAGTGTTCCATGGCCTTGGCGTAATAGTTTCGGGCCTTGCTAAAGTTGTCATATCGGTGCTCTGCTCGCGACAAGTGGGCAAAGCACAATCAGGGAAAATACAAGGCGCTAGCAGCCAGGCAGCTTGAGCGTCCCGCGAACGCTCGTACTGACCAATCACCCCAAGATTATTCAGGGCTTCGGCATTTGAGGGGTCAAACGTGATGGATAGTCGCAAACACTATGCAAATTTGAAGAGGACGCAGCGGGCGATGGAGTGAATGCTCCATCTAGGCCAACGGCACGGAGGGCAGGTGGATCCATACCTGCTCAGCCAGCGTCGTATCCCCCAGCGACAGACAGACGTGTCCCAGGTTGTACCACACATCGGAGAGGGAGCTGTTATCAGCCAGCATCAGGGCACGTTCAAAACAGTTGAAAGCCAAGTCATACTGTGTTGCACCACCACCACCACCACCGCCGCCGTGAGAGCGCATCTTGAGAAAATCGGTCGAGCCTAGCACACTCTAGCAGAGGAATTCATACCTGCTGGGCCTGGAAGCAAGAAAGACCCAAGTTGTTGAAGAGCTCGGCACTGGCCACGCCCATCTGCAAAAGGCGCCTGTCTCAGGTCGTCCGTGCCAAACAAAGTAAGAAGAATGTGCCCCCATCGGCGCATCTATCCCGATCGTGAGGTCAGTCTTGTCCTGGCCTGCATCAGACACAACTTGCCTGTATTGAATAAGAGCCAACTCGGGTTGATCTGCATAAAAGTCTTCGGCAGCAAGAGAAGCAATGGCCTCCACGTTGGTGCTGGTTCAGGCAAGTGGGGCGAGGGAGAGTGAGGGTATGCTCAGGACACCATCTCCTTTGACACATCCGCGGGCCAATGACCTGGTTGACGGCACAAGGTCTTACCTGTCATGCTCGAGCAGCTTGCGATACTCGGAGACGGCACGCGAAAGGTCCCCAATACCTTCGTAAACTCGGGCTGCCGCAGCCAGCAGGACCGTCTCGTCGGGGAACTGCTTAAGCGCATCGTGATAAACACGGAGCGCGTTTTGAGGTTGGTCCAGTCGGATGTACACCTGCCAAGCCCAAAGACCCGTTAATAAAAACAAGGCTTGCGGGAGAGCTGGCGCAGCGTCATACAACCCACCTTGGCCAAGAGCATGGCCCCAAAGATGGTGGCCCGCTGGCGCAACGAAGACTGCAGCTGGCGCTCGGCGTCACGATACATGCCCAACCGATGGTAGGAAAAGCCCAGCATGGCCTTCCACCACCAATCCTTGAACTCTTCGTACTCGGTGGCATGAGCAGCAAGCTCAAGCGCCTTGACCGGCTGTTCGCCCACGTGTAGGATGTACAAGAACAGGGCCTTGGCTAGGATGGGGCGTGTGGCATACTTGCGAAGGTCCAACTTCTCAATATTGATAAAAGTGCCCACATCCTCTGAAACCATCGAGGCCTGGGCACCATCGAGGGTGCAGACGTACAGACCAGATCAGACCGAGCTTGCCTCGACGGCTATCTTAGCAGGTTCGGCAGGCGGCGGACAGCCAAGCACATATGCGATCCTCACATACCGTTCCAAGACGAACGTAACGACCAGAAGCCGTCGTCACGGGGCGTGCCGTCGCCGTACGCGGTGTACGCATGGCGTTCTCCATGGTGCTAGGGCGGCCCGACTAGGCAGAAATACATGCCAACGGAGCAGGGTGAGGGACCACCCCCCGATGTCAAGATGTTTGAGCGCAAGACCCGAGTCTGATTGCACCAACTTTACGACCCACCTGGGTGCCTGGGCGCACAAAGCCACTGACGGGACGCCCTGTCTTGCTGGTGGGCCTGAGTAGAGCAGGAAATGGGAGGGCAGATGTTAAAGTGTTCTCGCTTTTATTGAGGACCAGGGTAAATGGCTTGTCAACGACGGCATGGCCATCCTCAGCATCGAGCCTGGGAAAGAAGAAACAACAAACTTCTGCCGTACCGAATGCCTTTGTTGGCGCCCTGGTTGGTCATTGGTCGAGAGAAGGAGGTTCCAGGTCCTGTATATATTCGCACAAGCCGGGCCAGGTTATCCCTGTCAGTGTGGGATTTCGCCTTTGCGCCATCAGAGCGCTTCACAGTGTCCACGTACGTGGGAGTTGAGCAGTTGCATTGTCGTCCAGCATGACTTCTGCCAGGCCCTCTTCCTCCAACTCGGTCTCGTCGATCCGGACAGCCTCCGTCAAGGCCCGGGTCTTGAGAAACCAGGCAGCCTGGACAAGATGGTACATGCCATGAGCACGGGGTGGGCTCGTGTGACATGCAGTCTACTGACTCGCAAAACCAGCTCAGGCCCTTGACCAACCTTGTCGTATGGGTTTTTTTCCAACAGGTGGGCGCAAAGATCCTATCAAGTACACAGATATGGAATGAAAGCTCGCGATTCCCCGAAGCACGCCCCGCGCCCCTGGAACGCCGCCATGTCCGATCGCCGAAATCTTGCGCGAGATGGCGTGGGTGCACTGGTCTCCAGAGTGAATCAAGTCACGGCAGCACGCAAGTGGCGGTTACTAGTGGCTCAACGACAAGACCTACCGCGCACTGGTCGTATTTGCGACGTCGAAATAGCTGCTGAGCGTAAAATAGTGGATCGAGCTGGGACATGGCCCCTGGGTACTCGACCCGGTCCTGACCCGAAGCGTCCACCTCGGGCAACATGGTAGCTGATTCAAGCCCTTTTTGCAAAGTGGGATCCGGTGTACACAAAGCCAACTGAATTGCTAGCAAATGTAGGGAGATTCCGCCACGGCCCCTCCCGAAGAAAGCGGGCTAGCCAAGCTCACGCCAACTGCCGTCGCAAGCGTTTGAACCGCAAGTCGGGTACCTGACAACGCAAACGAAAATGTTAAAATTTAAAAAAAGTTCAATCAAAATTACATGTAAATTTTGAAAAAGAAAAAAATCAAACGCTTTGGGTTTTTAAAAAGCACATTCGAAAATTTAAATGGGAGAGGATGATTCAAAGTTTTCACGATCAAAAGTTTTCATCTTGGGTTATAACCTTTCAAAGTGTGATAAATATCAGTGTATCTCATGTCGCCGTTATTGATCGGCCGATCTCTCCATTTGCTCCTCGCACACCGCTCACTCGACGCTCGACGCTCGGCGCGAGGGAACGTGTTAGTCTCCAACGCCGGCATGGCGTCCTATCTCTTGTCTCAGTTTTTGGAGCGCGTGGGCGAGCTGCCTGGCGAATTGGATCGCAAGTATTCAGACTTACGAACTCTGGACCAGGACGTGCAGAGTTTGCTCGTCGAGATTGATCAGGGCTGCAATCAGCTCCTGCAGGACCTCGGCAAAGTGACGGGCCCAGAGCGCATGCGTCGTCTACGGCACTTGCGGGTCCGTTTCAGTCGCTGAAGAAGCTAACCATAGTTTAAGGGGGATGGGAAGATCTCGACTTCCCAGCTGCAGGTTCAGCTTTCGGCAGCTGTGCTCATGTCCCTTGCCCACTTAGAGTCAATTTGAAGATGCCCTGGACATGAGCGACCGCAAAATCGCCCTGGCCGTTGACAGCTATGAAACAGTGGACAAGCACATCCGGGATCTCGATGGTGACCTGAGCAAAATGGATGCCAATCAGGCTCTTACCGAAGGTGCAGCGCACACCATCCAGCTTTGCTTTCGGTGCTCATGTGTGATCGCCACTCACGTCCTCTGATCTCGCTATCGCCTTGTCGGATGACGACAGGTGCCCAGGCCGTCGCACAGTACGTGGATGCGCGGGTCTTTGCCACGTCCTGACGGCTCCTCCTTCGGTGTGAGTGGACCTCACTATGCTCCACTCTTGTTCGTGCTTTTAGGAAGAAGGAGGAAATGGCCATTGACCCTAACGAGCCACGTTATTGCATCTGCAACCAGGTTGGTCTGCCATTTGGCATGGCACCCATACATGGGTACCGGGAACCTCGCTTCTTCAGCTCAATCGACGGCTCCTTTGCGCAAATCGTGCCTTTTAGGTTTCCTTTGGAGAGATGATTGGATGCGATAACGAAGATGTAAGCTTGATCATTGGATGATTTGACGATATCGTCAAACTTTGCTGGTCATCCTGTCTCACCTGGACGTTTCTTGTATCCAACTTCAGTGCCCGCATGAGTGGTTCCACTACGCCTGTGTCGGCCTCACCGAAAAGCCCAAAGGCAGCAAATGGTCCGACCTGCATTGACACCTGTCTGTCTGTCTGTCTGTCTGTCTGTCTGTCTGTCTGTCTGTCTGTCTGTCTGTCTGTCTGTCTGTCTGTCTGTCTGTCTGTCTGTCTGTCTGTCTGTCTGTCTGTCTGTCTGTCTGTCTGTCTGTCTGTCTGTCTGTCTGTCTGTCTGTCTGTCTGTCTGTCTGTCTGTCTGTCTGTCTGTCTGTCTGTCTGTCTGTCTGTCTGTCTCTGCGTCTTTACACTGGTTCCAAGCCTCACTTGTATGCCTCTGTCCCGTCTTGATCTCGGTTGCATCTCCACAGGTACTGTCCCAACTGCCGGGGCCATATGGCCTCCAAACGTCGCAAAAAGTGAACCTGAAGGCAAGCGAACCACGGAGATTGCTCAGATGAAATCTTGCGATGGATGTTTTTGGTGCCCTCGCTGCATTGATTTGATTAATCTGGCTCAGCTCAGCTTAAAGTGTCTTTTTCAGCTGGCCTCTTTTGACGGCTTTGAGATGCGATCCATTGCCATGGACGCCATAACCGCTGCGCGGTACGATCACAACTCGTGACTCAAATTGACATGTGATTACTGGATTGAGTTTCCAAACTTCAAATCTTCACAGTCATAGGAAGCACCCAATTCGACAAGCCGGCTTGGAGCTTGGCTCCTATAGCTCAACTCGAGGGTTGGACTTTGCTGACGGCTGCCCAGAGGGCTTGGTCAGGCGCGTCTTCCGCAAGGCCCATACAGGCTCGAAGGATTGGCGAAAATTGTTGTCGGCGTCTAATCGAGCCTCATCCCAGCCCGTGACAAAGATTGGCGTCCAGCCCGCCAGCATATGTGGCAAGCGTCGCCGCCCATATCTAACAAGACACATCATGCACATGCGACAAGTGAAGGCAAGGCAGCGGTGCAGGCACAGTAGCCAGAGCCTCCACTGATGGAAACATACCGGCGATGTAGATTGTACACGACAACATCGGGGCCAATAGGAATGGACAGCAGCAGTGTACCACCACCCCGCAATAAACAGCGGCACAGCCGCATGGCCCTCAAATCAGCTTGGCCATCCAGTGGGTCGCCATATCTGCACGTGGCAAGTCGTCAGCCGCCAGTGGGGCCCCTCGACGCGCGCTTTTCGACACCAGCAAGTTTGCAGTTGTTGCAAAAAAGAACGCACCGTCCCAGTCCGTCATGGTCAAAGGAAGAGGCGGAGATGATCACGTCAAAGCGAGTGCTGCTTACAGCAGAGGCGTGAAATTCGCTTGGAGTAAAAGTCTGAATGCGGTCATGCACTATGGGGGACACCCGAACCGGTGAGGCTCTATCGCGTGGCTTGAAGAGAGGGTGACACGTGTTGTTTGATCATCAGCTGTCATGCACATCCCGTCCGTACCATAGGTCAGCTTATTATATTCAACCGTGACGACGCTCGACGCGTTGAGTGCCAGGGCCACGGCCTCGAACCAGGGCTCGGTCGATCCAAACACCAAAACTCGTGCCCCAGGTTTGATAGTTTGAGCTGCCGCATCCAAGAACCACATGTCTTTTTGCTGCTGGCGCACGTGTGCGGTCAAGGACGATGGCGCCTGCAAATCCGGCAGGAGACCAGGAGCGGAAGCCGCCTTGCGCTGCGCTAGCTGGGCGAGGGCGCGACCTGCGCGCAACACCATGCTCGCCAGCTGGCCTTTTTGATACTGGTAATGTGTGCCTTGACCCCGGCGCGAGTCGTCCACAAAATAGTGCTCCATCGGCACCCAGCTGTGGTTACTTAAGTCATTGCGCTGCGCTTCGCTCAATTGCTCTTGTGGGGTGTGGAGCGAGCGCGGTCGGCCGTATTCCTCCAAGAGCGCGGGGCATGTCCACCCCACGACATCGACCGCGCCTAATAGCCCCTCGGGCAAGGACATGGGATCGGCAGCAGCGCCAAACGTCCTCTCCACCATGCAAGCCACCAACACCACGCATGCCAAGCACACCCAGCTTAGCAAGCGGCGCTGCACGGCTGCCCGCTGTCCACGCCTCATCCTGCCGGGAGGCTTTTAAAAAAAGAATCGAAAAGTCAAGGAAATTGGCTGCACTTGCAACCTATAGTTCACACACCCGGTTGGTGTGAACATTCAAATTCAAATTACATCAGATGTTCATGACATTGTAATTTTTTTGGAAGATTGAAATTTCAAGCAGAACAGAAGCACTTTGAAGGATCAAAAAATCGACTTTTTCACTGGCTCCATGAAAAAGCGGGCTGCATTTGACAAGAGCTGCTTGACCGTTAGAAATGGCTGCCGCGACGTCTTACCCACGGTCAACAGACTCTGTGGAAAGGGAGTTGAAGCTCGATGCGATTGTGTTTGGCTTTCGTGCGCCAGAACAGGCCGCGGACCCTGAACGAATGGCCATGGGCAGCCTGAAAGAAATCCTTCAACGAGGCTTTGATCACGGACTTCATCTTCGCGAAACGACCAGCGTCAAGGTTCTTGACTGCAAGAGACTGGGCGCTGATGCGCTGGCCGTGATCGACTCCAAGCGGTAGGCCGCTGGACCGGATATCGGCGCAGCTTTGACAGTTTTGAGGAATTCACGCGCGTGCTCACGTCTGTCTGGTTCGGCAGCTTCTCAAGGCTGGATCGCAACAACCCAGCGAGCCTACGGACACTGCGCGATTCGAGCCGCAAGATCCAGTGGGTGGAGGTGGTTCACAACTTTGAGCGGGGCCTGCATCTTTGGTCGGTGGTGCTGTGATACCTTCGTCGCTTGCTCGCTTGTGCACGTTCCCTCAGCCCTGCCTCTCCCATGTGCCGATGTAGGCTGTTGCAACACGGCATAATGCCATGCCTGTATCACGATCAGCGGCATGCCATCAAGCGTGTGGCGCATCTCGGGCCAAGATCGCACAGGAGTGGTCAACGTCACGGCTGGTGGGGTCTCTTTTTTGATATTCTGTCTCAGTATGTTCAAGATATGGCAGAAGATCCAACAACAAGCAACTCGAGCACAAGGAAACAGCAACAACGAATCGAAGGGAGAAGACAGCTTTGGAATAGCATTCGGCATTTGATGCAAAAAATGCTCAGTGAACGCCAGCGAGTGCTAGGGGCACGTTCGGCTTTGAGCCAGGAGTGGACACGCCAACCGCGCGACCAGGACGAACAGGGCCGCATTCCCATTTCGGAAGACAACTCGCTCTTACAAACAGAGGCGGCAGGAGTGGCTGCAAATCACCACGAGGCAACAGAGGCGGCGGCAGCAGTCTCGAGCCGTGTCCAGAGGAATTCCGACCTGGACGAGACGACAAACACCCCTGGTCACACAGCTGCCACTGGAACGCGATCCTTCACGCGGTCAGCACATTCAAGCGAAAGCCCCTCAACTGCCGACACAGCAAGGAGCGCCGATGATCATACGCAAGAAAACTCCCGGCGCATGGAGGCCCAAGCATCTGCGCATCGGACAGGCCAGAATCATGCAGGCATGCAGGCATCAAGTGCTACTCCCGGGGTTTTGAACGGTCTCTACGGAACGCTGGCAGCCTTTCAGCATGAGGGGGGCAACGCATCCTCGAGTGCTCAGAATCAGATCATGACGGAGCTATACCGCATGAAGGCCGACGTCGCAGTCATACAAGCAGATGTGTCCTCTATCAAGCAGCAACTGCTTCTTTTGGTCCAGTCTCTTCAACAGCAACAACCCCGTATGAGTCAGCATTCTTGATGCCAATCCTCTCTGTGGCGCCTAGATTGACGTGCATTGGATGTGTGGCGCGCCGTACTTGCCAGTAAGAGAAGAGCTGACGGCTTTTGACCAACATTCCAGGCGTCATGAGTGACAAGGGTGAAAATGCGCGCTTGTGACAAGGGTGAAAATGCGCGCTTGTGACGGAGCAGTCAAACCTTGCCATTATGGGGCAATTTGGCCTTTGAATTGACTGCCTGTACATGAACATTCATCTGCGCAAGACATGATTAAATTTTGTTTTGAATTTCGTTTGAGGAGAGGGTGATTGTAATATTCTCGAAACGCAACAACAGGATCACATAGTCAGGTGGATAGCCAGTTCACTCTTCTTTAGCTGTAGCTGGTGGGTCGTTCTCTTCGCTCAGGTCTAGTTGGGGTGCAGGTGCGGCCTGGGTTCTGGGCTTGGTGGACGATGTGAGAGATTGGCGCAAAGGCGTTGATGGGCCGAGGTCAGGCTTTTGAGCAAGAAGTCGACGGCGGACCGTATGCTGCCCCAGCGAAGGACTGGCGCCCAGCGTCGCACCAGACAACCGGCTGCCAGGACGGGGTTGGGCAGTGCCAAGTCTGATTCGCTGAACACTGCGCACGGGGGAGAACGGTAGCAAGACGTGCTGCACGGGACGAATCTGGACAAGCGTGCTGGTAACCAACTCTGCTCCACGGTAGTACGGCAGCTGCAGCCATAGGTACGCCACAATCTCCGCATCATACCAAAACGGGAGAGCAGACAACGGTCCCTCTAAAAACTCGTGCGCGGCATAAAACAGGACCGCCGCCACCCAGTATTGCAGCCAGTGTAGGATCAAGGCCGACATGGGTTCAGACATGGGAGCCGGTGTGCGGGTATCTTGACCTTGAGGCTTCAATAAAGAAGGGCGACCGAGGATGTCAAGCGCCTTGTATGCGGGCACAAGAGCACCGACAAGCGCACAGCCAAAATGTTGGATGAAGCGCGGTGAAAAGAAAAAGGGTATTGCCACGACAACCACTAGCCCGCCCTGGACGATTGGCTCCACAAAATTCTGCACGGCAGCGGGCAGGCTGCCTTTGATCGCCGGGACGACTATGTTGGTGATCATGCCAGTCTGCGTGGTCAGCGCCTCTTGTCGGGTTGCCAGCAAGGGCAGAGCTGTTCGCAAGACCCAGTGCCACCCATCTGCTACCACCTCACAGCCATGCACAAAGGGTAGCCAGAGCCACAGAACGATTCCGGACGACGCGGCCGTGGCAAGCGGGATCATGGGCAGCAAGGAAACGACAAAGGGTGGCTGCGTCATGGTGAATAGAAGTGCCAAGGCGCTCCAGTAGCTGACCCAGGAGCGACGCGCCAAATTTAAGATTTCACGCTGCGGCGCACCCATAGACTGGTGCTTTCGTGCCGCGGCAGGTCGATCGTTTGCGTCCTCAGCTGCATCATTGGAGCCGTCATCCAATTCCAGAGGTAGCAGCGTTGCAAGCGAGAGGCAGATCGGTATAATGACACCGAGTGTAAACAGAGTGCGAGTGTCGTCCAGAAAGCGGCGAGAGTGTGGAGACAGGAGCGCAAGGCTGAATAAGGACGTGAAAATGATGTGGGGCATGACACAGATAATCCAGCGCCAAGCCCGGGAAGATGTCTGCATGGTGCGGTGCTGCCAGTGACGGAGCCGTTGCTCAAGACGTACAACATGTTGCTGTATTTTGTAGTACAGCCAGCGCACGGCCCAACGCACGGCAAGCAAAGTCACAATGGCGGCCAGGACACCCCCAAACCAAAACGGGTGTTCGTGGGCCAGCGAGGCAACCGTTCGAGTCATGGACCAGCCCACGATGGCCCAGAGGCGCAAACACTCGGCAGTGCTCAGGAGGGCGGCGCGAACCTCCTCGGCAAACTCGGGCGGCAAATGGCGTTGCATTTGATCTTCAGTCCACAACCAAGCCTCATGACTAGCCACAACCATTTGCGCCGACCAGGCATGAGCCTGGTCCGTCAGCACCCACAGCTGGTTGAGCTGTTCCATCATTTGTCAAGCTGAAAAATGAAAGTTTTAAAAGTGAAAAAATAAATTTAAAATCGACTGTTGGCTGTTTGAAACTTTAAACCAGAAACGTTTTATTTAAAAATTCAAAAATTCAAGCCAATGGATCAATCATTTTCTTTTCTGTTCTCTCTCTCTTTTTTTTTTTTTTTTTCCTTTGGCAGATCAAGCGCCCGGAGGGAGTGCAGGGCCATTGGTACTTGGACTTGCACCATGGGCGACGTGTCGGTACGTGAGACAGCGATTCTGCACAAAGCAGGAGTACCTGAGGCGTATGATGCCTGGATGCAGTATGTTTGGAAGGACGGCGGTAGGTTTGGGCGCACGCGCCGACCGCTGGAGCTCAACGCGCTCGGGAGCATCGAGCATTTCTTGCTCCTGGTGCAGCCTGGCTCACATCCACGAATGGCACCATAGGGGGACTAGGTACACCTGCACACCCTGTCGAGGGTATTCGGGCTCAAGGGTACATTGGAGCCACTCGCAGGTTCGTGAGGCGAGCAAGTGTGCGCCGACTCTTTTGCACTTCCCGGTCCTCACGCCACATACCCTGGGCATGCCACCAGGGTGGGTCTGCCCAGATTTGTAGTTGAAGCAATCGTCGCAGGGGAACCAGATGAACGTATCGAATACGAGGTCAAATCAGGTAACGTGCATTGTGCTCGTGATTGTGATTGATTGAGTCGCTTGACATCGTGAGCAGAATGAAGACGTGCACACTTGACGAGGACCCTGTTATCGCCTCGTCTATCCACAGGTGTTCCCGTACATTCGCACCGGGGCATCATCACCTTCAGGGCGGTGGGCGAGGTCAGTTCCTTGCGTTTCATCGACCCCATTAACTACATATCATCCGGGTGTATCCATTCACTCGGCGCCTGGCCTCACCAACTGTTTAGGATTGCGAGGTCATCTGGAGTTGCCGTGCCAAACCTGTCTGGGGCTTTGGATGGATCATTGGCAGGCTTTTCCCTTTTGTTTTTCGGCGCATGCTCAAGCACATGGTTGAGCAACATGATGCGACACTCGCCTAAGCAACTCGACCGGCCAGTGTTTTTCCATGGCCACCCTGGCGTCTCCTTGCTGGCAGCATAGTGGGTGCACGGAATACTTTGCGCCCACTGTAGTTTCGCAGCAGTGATCTGGGCTCGAGCGCCTGGCCTCCTTCTGAATGCTTTGCCCGACATCCGCCGTCACGGCACGAAAACTTTACATACAGTTCATGACATCCCGTCTGCTTTCAATAAACTTGATACAATAAAAAATTTAACATTCACGAATCAAGTTTATTACATGTACATCCGGATGTAAATTTTTTATTTTATTTTTATAGAGCAACAACCAAATTCGAATTTATAACGTTCCATTCAGGTCATTTTCATGCACGCGGTTGCGGTTTGTTCGCCATCATGCACACGACACGACCATTGGCGCCGCCAGCAGAGAGCGCTTTGCACGATGCAGTCGAAAGCCCCCAGCCAGATGCCCCTGCATCTTCCCAACCAGGCTTGAACAAGACCATGGTCGCCATGGCCCTCGGCTCCTTGGCTCTTGGCTCCTTTGCCTTTGGATTTATTCGCAACTTTCGTCGGATGCGTCAGCAGAACGTCGAGGTTCATGACGAGCAAGCCGTCAAGGCTGCGCTTGCCCAAGCCGAAGCCGAGGTAAGGCAAGAACAGCAGTCTGAGTGGTATCCACCACACACCGCAATGGCAGCAGCGTTCAGAGTTGACTTTTGGCTCTTATGGTGTGCCTGCATTCATCGCGCTGTTCTACTAGGGTCGTGACTTGCGAGCCGAGGGAGTGACCCTGGCAAGCCGAGCCCTCGTCATTGCCACATCAATGGTGGTCAGTGTAGGCCTGGCCATTCCAGCTGGCCTGCATTTCATTGGTGGCTTTCAAACGGTAAGGTCCTCATAACCTTTGGATGCTGATGATACATCCCTGGGTTTCACAAGTTGTCCCCTCTTGACATCTACTCCGCGCGTTGGCCGTAACTCGCTACATCGCGCTCTCTTTCTCAATCCGGTTGTGTGATTATGATTAGGTGGGTGAATTCAATACGCGTGCTCGGCAGATCTTTGACGGCATCCGAATGCCCCGAGAGACCACAGAGGAAGAGTGAGTACCATCCGCCTGATGCTGCCCGCTTTGCCGGCCACCACTTCCTAACGCCTGTCCCTGCGTGTCGTTTCGCTGCAGGCATCGCGAGTTTCAAAGCCTGGTGGATATGATGTATGAAAGCTTACCACTCAAAGCCTCATCACACGATGTAGACGCAGAAACATCTCCCGAGAGCTCTCCCGCCGCCTCCACAGCGACCTGAGTCGCCGTAGCAGTGGTTGTGACATGCACCATCTGTATTCATACGAGGTTGTGCCTTCACCTCGAAGAATTGGGTTATCTGATTGAAAAAAAAAAAAAAACAAGGAAAAAAAAAAACGAATCATGTCGATTTTATAATTGAACCCCCTCACTCCTTGCACGTATCTTTCTCAAACTCAGACGACCGGTTTGGTTACCAAGAACTGACAAAGTGCGGAGCATAAACAAAAATTTAACGCAGTAGCCTGCAGAAAGATTAGGCTCACAATGCAACATTCGGTTGATCGCACAGCCTGATAGCTAGACATGGGTAAGCTCTTTCACCCAACACAGCTTTTGGTGTCAACATGAGGCTGGGTACCAACTGCATCTCTCTATGCCGAAGAATGATATCCCCCACCTTGACCGCCGTAAGGGCCTGGAGGAGGCGCACCATATCCGTAGGGAGGTTGCTGTTGATGTGGCTGCTGCGATGCTGGGGCAGGATATCCTCCATACGGACCACCCTGTGGTGGCTGCCCGTAAGGAGCGCCGTACGAGCCTGATTGATAGGCTGGTGGCGGCGCGCCGCCGTACGACTGGGGCATCCCAGGTTGAGGCGCATAGCCACCGTACTGCTGCTGCGCCGAGGGCGCGGGTTGCCAGTACGGCTGCTGTCCCTGCTGCGCTCCGTGTGGGGGGTAGGGCGCTTGAGGCTGTGCTGCTGGGTAACCACCGTAAGATGGTGGAGGAGCACTTGCCCCATACCCACCAACAGCAGGTCGCGGTTGCGATTGCGGCGGTTGTTGTTGCTGTTGCTGTTGCTGCGGATAACCTCCGTGGGCCGTGTATGGCTGCTGTTGGGATGGCGGTGCACTGGCAGCTGGAGGTTGACTTGTCGAGCCAGAAGAGAAGGCAGGACCACTCGAACCGTAGTTTTCCGATGGTGTTGCCGCAATGTTGCGGGAAAGAGATGAAACAAAATCCTTGGCTTCAAGCTGGCGTGCTAGCACAAAGTCCTGCACCTTCGTCTGCTGGCGCTCCAACAAGCCTGCCAGGTTGGTGTAAAACTGAAAGCAAGGCGGTGAGAAAGAGAGAGAGAGCGAGGCACATGGTTTCGCCAAGTACACAAGCTCGAGGGACACGGTACACCGATATGAAAACAACAGGACCAGGACCAACGGTTCGACACACAACATACCTTCTCACCCTCGGTGAGATGCGCCCGAAGCTCCATCCATCCCTGATACTTGGCTTCAAGATCAGACAGCATGTCCTGTCGCTCACTGGTTTGCATGCCTCGCTCACCAGCAAAGGCCTGGAAGGCTTCCTTGGTGCGTGCCATAACGGTGTTGGTCTCCACAACGAGCTGTTCGACTCGGGCCTCCAGAGGCTTGTAGCGTTGCAGCTGCTCCTGAAAGGCCATCTCCTCGACAACATCGGCACCACGCTCCAACAACAGACCAGAAATATCGTCCTCCGCCTATGAGTGCCCCATCAACAAGTGCAACGCCTCGACCATGAGTGAAACGGATCTCAAGAGAAGAAGAAATAACAAATCAAAAGCAATCGCAGTCGGAGGTTGTACAAAAGGTGCAGCAGACAATGCGCTGTGCAAAGCGTTAAAGTTTCCTCACCTTTGCAGTTTCAAACTCGGCTTCCATGCCATCACGAGCTGTGCGCAGCTCATCCAATTTGCTCAGCAACTCTCGCAGCGTGCTCGTTGTACCATTGCTGGCCTCTATCACATTGGTCAGGGCAGTGAGAGAGTGACCCTTTGAGCCCGTTGATCATATAGGCCACGTCACTGTATAAAAAATGGCATGTTTGGCTCAAGACAACGCGAATGAAAATGAGGAAAAAAAACAAAAACGCACGTTGGCTCCCAGGTGAATCCTTTGGTAGAATCTGTTGAAGCTCATCGGGAGACTTGCACATCACCAAGATGCCAGCTGCAACCCACATACAGAGCCGAAATGCACGGGGTGAGAGCTGACACAAGTTGGCGAGTATGCGCTTAAACGAACCCCTGCCGCTTAAAAACTTGAAAACTCACGTTTGATGCTGGCATATTTGGAGACAACCTCCTCGTCGCGAGAACGCGAGCGCTGCAGAATGGTTGCAAACTTTTCCACCTCCTTACGAGTGGGGTCGGCAATGCGATCCGAGGGCTCGAGCGTGTATTTAGCGCCATACTGTTGACGATATCGCTAACGGGAGGCGCATGGGCAAACACGCGTGGATGGTGATGTCGTAAGCAAGCACGAGGGGAGGCATCAACACTCGACCACAAACACGAATACAAACTCAAGATTCCCGCAAGAGCCTTTGCCATCATAGGATGCCGTGGTTTGACACACCTCATCCTCGCTCTTCTCACGATCCAGAGACGAGCGCGCTTCGTCCAACATGTCTTGGCACATTTGACTGAGGGACGGCAAATTCTAAAGTCAGTGTCCGCAGCAAAAAAAAAAACATGGCATCGTGTTAGATGAAATGACGCGAGGAAAGACTTGCTTTTCTGGAGCTAAATGGTCGTTGTGGCAGCCCCAGCCAGTTCAATCCAAAGAAAGACCGTCGCCACAAATGGGGAGCATCAAGACGCCAAAATGCCGGAGAAGGCTGGCAAAGCAGCACGAACGTACCTTAATTTTATCTTCAACCCATTGCACGCCGCCTGCTGCCTGAACTTCCTGACAATGCGCCAGCAACGTCTACGCAATAGCCCGCGGGCATCAGATCAGCATCCGCCCGACCAGACTCACAAGTACGTCCCAACAACAGTCACCGGGATGGGGCGTTTGTCCTGTGTGCAAAGAAAAGAAACGACATACCTCGGGCACGGCATCACCGCTCTCCTGCACCTGCAGCGCCCCGGGAAGGTTCATGGCCCTGAGATCGTCGACACAGGCTGCAGTCACCTGGCGCAACTGATTGATATGCTGCGCCACGTGCTCGTCCCGCCGATCTTCATATCGCTTGCGAGCTTGATGCACAGCCTGCGGTAGCAGCACGACGCGTGGTACGAAAAAGGTACGTAAGGAAAAAAAAAAAAAAACCCCTCAGAAGCGGAAGATCTGCTGCGAGCTTGGGTTGGTTCGCCCAGAGCACTCCAAAGCAATGTAACGCACCAGGGGCACCACCGCGACAAAGGGGTCGTCTCCCATGATGTCCTTTGACATAAAGTCTGGCAAGGAGCGTTCGGCACTGACAAGGTTCTGTCGCTCCACGAACGGCAACCTGCCATATGCACGTGAACCATGAGGTGCGAGTGAGTGCGCTACGCATCCAGCCGACGCATGGCCGGGATGGGATCCAAAGAGTTTGAGTGCATAAACAAAGAGACACCATCTGGTGGATCCCTGGAACCGCCCTCTGCCTCTTACGCACGTGTCGGGGCTGGGCACCACTTGTAAGTAAATGGTGCTGTTCTCTTTCTCGGCCGTCTTGAGCTTGGCCGAGATGGTGGCCATGACCCGTTTGACATCAAATTTCATATTGGCGGCAAGCCGGTCGGCTTCTTGAATCGCGCGAAGAGCAGCTTGGTAACGTGCTAGGGCTTGACCCTGCTTGTCTTGGGTATCCTCAAAGAGGCCTTGTCGAAAATGAGCTTCGGCTTCAAAGTAAAGGTACTTGACGTTGCACAGCTGAACCCAATCCTTGTTGAGATTGGCCAGCTCTTTGAGCGTCTTGAATGCATCCTCGTAGTACACGGCAGCCTGCTTGGCAACCTTGGCCACCAGTTGGTCTTTGCGGTTCTCTGTTGAGCCCAAAAGACAGCGACAAGGTGGCGTGATTTGAGGGTACGCAGGCCCACAAAAGAAAAAATATATATTGTATACCAGATCGAAACGATTGCAGAGCCATGTAGCATGGGCAGTGCCATGATGGCACATGGTTTGGGAATGCGAGCGCCGTACCTAGGACGCACTTGCGCCAAACAACTTCTTGTGCTTGGGCCTATCGTGAGAGCAATGGCAGGTTGTTGTTTATGTGGTCAGTGCAGTTGGTAGCGTGGCGAGCATGGTGATAGGAGTGATTGGCGAGTGATGCATACCAGCATGACAAGGTGGAGCGCGTTGAGCAGTGTACTGTTGATGTCGTTGCTGGGCGTGGTGGTGTAGTAGCGATGGACCTCTGAGGCAGCTGCTCGAAAAATGGAGGCGGCTCCCTGTGTGAAATGAGAAAAGAAAGCACCAGAACACATTTGAGGTGAGCGAGAGAGCTGACATGGATGATTCAAAACGCAAGAAATTTAGTGTGATACTGGAGCGGGCGTGTAGTGAATTTACCTGAAAGTTTTTGGCGGCAGTTTTGAGGCCTTCGTCAGAGTTGTAGTTGCTAATGGCGCCAATCTGGCTTTGCAGAGCGGCGATGCAAAAGAGAACGCAAATCTTCTCATAATTTACATCCTCCAAGGCTGTTGACGTGACAGGGAGGAACTGGTCAACTCATGTATGGTCAAGCGCCATTCATACTGCGGTCGGGGAGGGGATACAGGCGACCCGACGTACCAACTGTCTTGCTCCGAGAGAAGAGTGAGTTGGCTGCAAACAAATCGTCCCAAGCAAACTTGATGCCAATGGGGGGTGGCGGCGTGCCACTCCAGGGTTCCGAGGTGCGGAATGGAAAGCGCTTGGACAAGGCGCAGAGGCGGCCGTAGTACCTGCGAGCAAGGGCAGAAAACGCATGAGGGCATGAAAGAGGATGCTTGTCAACAAGACACGGAGAAGCTGAGTGGCAGGGAGGGCTGCCGGCATAAACGTGGCGAGAGGAGTGAGCAAACGAGCGGCCAACTAACTTGTTGATGGCTTTGAGGCCTGATTCGTGGCGCTCCGCGGGTCGGACCACGCAAGCATCACGAAGGTCGGTCAGTTCTTGAACTGCCTCCTTGAGCGTGGCGGGATCTTGCTGGTACTCATTGGCCACAAACTTGATGAGCGGCTCAGTAAAACTGACATGCTGAGCGCGCTTAGGCGGAAGCTCGATCCAGCACGGCTGCGCCATCTTTGGTTCGTGGGCCCAACACAGTCAGGCTTCCAAACAACGGGCAAAGAAGGATGTACCTCGTTCCAGGAAAGCGCACGCGCAAGGTTGCGTTTGCTCGGCCCTGAACTCCCGGCGAACAGGCAAGCATGCCACCGTGAGAAGCCGCGCCAAATCAAAGAGAGCCAATGCAAGCAGCTGACGACACTCTCCGGGTAGGTAGATATATCAGATAAAATCCTGCACGCACCGACGACAATCAGAGCCAAGGATGTATCAAAGGACGCTGCGGCAGGAGGCAGTCAGCGATTTGTCGGCTTGTCCTGATAGCACACAGGCGCATGAGGAGAAAACAATGCAACAAACGCAGTGACAACCTCCCGGGGACGGCGAGTGAGGCAGCCGGCGGGACCGCGCACGCACCCCAAGAGCAGAGATATACAAAAGAAGAAAAAAAATACGGTCGCTGCCACACCCACTGGATGGTAAATGGACAACTCCAACGCCACTGACTTGAGACAAAGGCGACAGACTGGGAAAGCGCACACACACCTTAGAGTCAACAGCATGCATTACATGTGCCTGCTTGAGTTGAAGGAGACACATTCGTCTGACATCAACAAGCTACGTGTGCTCGTTCCTGGCGAGCTGTAGAAGGCGAAGGTGGTGAGAATGGGGCAACCAAATGGGGGTCAGGCCGCGTAGCCATCTGTAGAAGATGACCCCCGCATTCGAAGAACAAAGGTGGCCACAACAGCTGTTGCATCCATGTAGTGGCCTCCAATGAAGTGGGGCCGTAAGGAACTTCTCGTGCCTGCACAGGTTCTCTGCCTTTTCTTTTTGCAGTGTTTTCTCTCTCTCTCTCTCTCTCTCTCTCTCTCTCTGTTTTTTTGCGGTCACTGCGACATTGGCCCTTCTGCCTGCCATTTTCTTATGTGGATTTGGATTTGTGTTTCTTGATTTCCTTGACGAGTCAACCGCCGCCATGTCGTTGAAGCGGGCTTTGGTCGGATGCAAGCGTGTCATTGATTATGCCGTCAAGGTGGGTTCTGAAGAACGATGTGTTTGTCGGCGCAGGGGTGGTGCGCGTGCCGGCGCGCGTAGCCTGACTGGGGAAAGTTAGCCCCCAGTGGCTCTGGGGCCACACACCTGAGCCTTGTCTTACGCCTGGTCTTTTCTTGCTTTCAACGCGCCCGGCAGATTCGCGTCAAGCCGGACAAGAGCGGCGTTGTCACCGAGGGTGTTAAGCACAGCATGAACCCTTTTGATGAACTGGCGGTCGAGGAGGTGCGCGCGCTCTTCTTGTGCCTGACGGCGCGGGGAAGAAACTTTGTGATGGTGCAAAACGGTCTCTCGACTTTTTCTCTGTTTGACAAACCCTTTCGTTTCCCCTTGCGGTGCGTTTGTGCCTGCCCATAGGCTGTGCGCATGAAGGAGGGCAAGAAGCTGGATGAGGTCGTTGTTGTGTCCTGCGGTCCCAAGGGTGCACAGGATGTGCTCAAGACGGCCTTGGCCATGGGCGCCGACCGTGCCATCCACGTTTCGTATGATCAGGTCGATAAGCTCGAGCCCCTTGGCGTTGCCAAGATCTTCGCCAAGCTCGTTCAGGAAGAAACCCCCGACCTTGTCCTCCTCGGCAAGCAGGTATCCACCCCAAATGTATCCACCCCAAATGTGTCTGGGCTAGCAGTGGCTGCGCCCTTGTTTTATTGTCGTGCGCCTGTGGGGATGCTCGCGTTGGCTCTATCCCAATTAAACGACCTCTCGCCGCGATTGATCGGCTTCTCGGCTTGCCCCGGCTTTGTGTCGCAGGCCATTGATGATGATGCCAACCAAACAGCCCAGATGCTCTCGGGCTTGCTCGACTGGTCTCAGGTACGTCGTCGCCCTGCACCTGCATTCTTTTTCGGACGACCCTTTGCCCTCATGTGCGCTGTTTGGCTCAGGCAACTTTTGCATACAAGATTGACTTGGCCGATGATGGCAAGCAACTGACCGTTGTTCGTGAAATTGATGGTGGCCTCGAGACTATTGACGTCAAGCTCCCGGTATGTTGCCGCTACCCAAGCGAAACCCTTTGCCTGTAGCCCAGGCGCTGACAGGCCGGCCTTGCCCGTTGCGGCCATTGGCAAATGCCTCACTTTTTTTGCATTCTTGACAGTCCGTTGTGTCGACCGATTTGCGCCTGAACGAGCCTCGCTATGCGACACTGCCCAACATTATGAAGGCCAAGAAGAAGCCCATGAAGACGACGACCCCCGAAGAGCTGGGTGTGGATGTGAGCCCCCGTCTCGAGCTGCTCTCGGTTGCCGAACCCCCTGCGCGCAGCGCTGGTATCAAGGTACGCCCGATGCACGTCGTGCTTACACATCCCTACTTGGCCCGCCTTTTTTTGTCTCACTTGACGCTTCGTTCCACCTACCCATGGCGCTAGGTTGAGTCAGTGGATGAGCTCATTGACAAGCTCAAGAACGAGGCCAAGGTTCTCTAAATTTCTCGGGGCCCGCCCTTCTGCTCTAAAACTCACCACTCCCGTCATGTGTACAAGACTCTGCCACCCGCTTACGTTTGCAACCAATTTACCACCCTGAAAAACTGATTGACCTGGAGTCGTGTGTATATTCCAACTCTGCCATCTGGATACAAGTCCACAAAGCCACACAGCAGCCGCGCGATCCAAACTTTTTACATCCGATACATGTTAATTTTTCTAAGAATTTTGGGATATGAATTTCTTGCGCCTTGCACATGGTATGCACAACAAAAGCAAGTCTGGGGCCAAGCAGGGAAGCTTGAAGCCTTGGACCAAATCACTAAACTGCAAACAGCAACAGAGCAAGGAAAGAAACATGCAAAAAAAATCCAAAACAGTAAAAAAAAAAAGCCCAAAAAAACACGACAACATGTATACCAAGAGCTGGCTGCCGCATCCACGCCTCACCAAACACATACAGGACCTCAAGCAAACAGCGTGTCTTCCTCGCCCGTTTCCTTGCGCATGAGCAAGGCAAACTCCTGAATGTTGATCTGCCCAAAGCCGTCCACCTGCGCTCCACAACACGGTATGAGTTGGTGTTGTTGTGTTTTTTTTTTTTTTTCTCGAAAGGGGCCTGGTTGATACGATCGCTTCTTCGGGTGCAAGCTGAAATGGCACCTCACCTCAGCTTGTCCAAAAATCTCGTCAATGTCTTCCTTGCTCATCTTCTCCCCAAAGCTGCCCAGCACCTGTTTGCAGCCACCATATGCATGAGGAACAGACAAGAAGATATCGCTGCATCTGTTTCTCACAAGGCCGGAATGTCTTTGACCAGGTGCCGCGGCGCAAAAACCCACATGAGCCAGTTCCGACACTGTCACCATGTCTCCACCATCGTGGTCGAAGAGTTTCAGAGCATCCGTGATGGTGCCCTCAATGTTGTCATCTTTGGCATGCTTCAGCGAATTCACCACCTGTGCCACCTGTGCCTGCGTTGCTGCACCTGCAATAGAGCAACAGGAGACCACAAGGGGAAATCAGAGCGAGAACATGCATCGCCAAAAGCGGGGCCGCTGTTTGGGATCATTCAACGCACCTGCCACGCCGGCTGCACGGCAGGCATCCTGGATTTGTGCATCAGTGGGACAGTAGCCACAGGCCCGCACAATCATTGCCACCGACTCAAAGGGAATGGTGCTCCCATCCTTGGCAAAGACCGGAAACAGTTCCTCCACTGTCTGCGACTGCACCCATGAAACCATCAAGGTTTTTTGGAGTGAGAAGATACAAAACCCGGATTGACCACCCCCGGGCGGCGCCGAGTAGCCATGCCACAAAGCTGAACTGAGAACAGGGCACACTGCATACCATCGTGCTGTTGTTTTGACCAACACCAATGGCCTTGTTATCTCAGGAATCTTGAGGCTGTCTTAACCAAAAATAAAAATAAAAAAAGGAATGCGACAGCACTGCCGTGAGTGATTTCGCCAGACATCCAGCCACTGAACAGCAGAAAACAGGTCCTCCCCAACCCCTTCACACTTTCCACGGTCCCAGCATGAACCAGCATGAAGTGGGATGGCCATGGCGGTGAGAGCCACATTGCCACTTTGACCCCTCACCACAACGCACAAAGGTCAACAAATACACAGCGACACACATAGATAAAACGCCCCTTTGCAGCACAAGTGCCTTGTTGGTCAGGCCAAAGTCGAAAGACCAAGACACCAATACGATAGTGTGATGCCGGTCACACTCATGTTCAAGCTACTGACCTTTGAAAAAAAAAGGCAAATGCGCTGACAAGCAGACCACTCTGACGCTTGGTAGCATTGCGTCTGGCTCTCCCTCTCTCTCTCTCTCTCTCTCTCTCTCTCTCTCTCTTTTTTTTTCTGATCTGAGCACCGACCGACGACGGAGAGGCCACGCTCGACGATCAAACAGGAGAGGACAACGACGGCGGCGGCTGGTCAAAGCGAAGCAGGCCACACCTTGCCCTACCGTGTTTTGTCCTACCCTGCTTTTTTGAAACGGAGAAGGTTGCTTTTCGTAATCTTTCACCGCTGTCATGGTACGAACGAGCATTCGCGTTGCGCTTCTCGCCTCAGCTCAAACTTGTGGCCCACCGTGGCGCCTCGTGCTTGGTCGAAACGCTCACCTCAGTTCTTGGGGCCATGTACCATTCAAACCGTAGGCTCGTAATGAAGAAAAAGCCCAGTATGTTCCATGAACGCCCTTGCTGCACACATCACCATCACGACTTGACCTGGCCTTTGCTCACCCTTGTCATCGTGATCCTTGCAGATCGCTCCTCAACCGCTGGGTTGCAGGGAAGATGAACGAAGTGAACCCCAAAAAGCAGTGCGTACGCTTGACGTGATTGCCCACCCTGCCGGGGCTTGCCTGCAGCTTACTTCCGGCCTTCCTGCCGCTTAATTGACAATAGGCGCCCCTACCATTCCAAAGAGTGCCACGACCTGCATGATGCCGAAAAGTTTCGCCGCGACGTACGCTCTTTGCATTCATCCACACCTCAGCCCGCGATTTTCTTTTTGTTTGTTTTTCTCTGCTACGTCTTCATGTGCCTGGCCTTACTGTTTTTGTAGATCATCTATGAGTTCTCTCAAGGACTGCAAAAGATCCAAAACGGTCCGTTGCATATCAACCTTGACTGCTGACGCCAATCCCGACCTTCCAGCTTTGGTCCTTCCCCTTTGCTCTTTTTTTTTTTCTTTTGACTCTCACTTGAAGCATACCCCTGCTTGCTCCCCCGCATCTGCATTTGTCCGTGCTCCTTCAACATTGCACAACAGCTGGGCTTGGCGAGTATCGTCTGCGCGACCTCAATGACGAACTCAATCGGCTATTGCGGGAGAAGAAGCATTGGGAGTATCGGATAGTGGAACTGGGCGGTGCAGACTATACTGTACGGCGTGCTTGCTTTTGATGACTGCTCCGCTTGAACATGGATTGACAGCCATGCACATTGCTCCCCTCTGACCTGGTCCTGAATTCGCCTCCATAGCAAACAAACCAAAGGTTTCTGGACTCTGAGGGTCGAATGGTCCAGGGCAATTTTGGCTACAAGTACGCCCTTCGCCTCCGGCCAAACCTGAATTCGTGGCGGATTATCGATGAAAGCAACACCACGCCACTCTCCTCGCATGAACCGGTTTCTCATGTATTATATTTATACACCCTTGGGGCACGGTGGCCTTTGGCTTGGGTTGCTTTCGTTTTAGATACTTTGGCGCTGCGCGTGAATTGCCGGGCGTCCGCGAACTGATTGCGCCCAAGAGTACGTTTTTGCTCAAGCCATCTGGCTCGCGCCGCTACCACGACACGCTCGTCAACTCACGGCTCCCACGGCCGGGATGGCCACTGACTTGCGACCCGTGTTGCAGAGGCGACAACAACCAAGCGCACTCGTGCAGAACTCTTTCGCCATGTTGATGCCGGTCAGTTTGAATGAGTAGAGTAGACAATTTGAAGGATCTGTTCTTGCTCCCTTCTTCTTCTTCTCTCTCTCTCTCTCTCTCTCTCTCTCTCTCTCTCTCTCTCTCTCTCTCTCTCTCTCTCTCTCTCTCTCTCTCTCTCTCTCTCTCTCTCTCTCTCTCTCTCTCTCTCTCTCTCTCTCTCTCTCTCTCTCTCTCTCTCTCTCTC